TTGAGTACAGTGTGAAAATGAGATCGATTTTATGGCGTTTAGCTGTTTGTGGAATGTTGCGTTGGTTTGGTCATTTGGAGAGGATGGATGAAAGAAGAATTACGAAAGAGATTTATCGAGCAAGAATGAATGGAGATGTCGGTAGGGGCCGCCCTAGACGGACGTATGTCGACCAAATAGGCGACGTGCTGAAGAAGGGCCAAATTAAAAGTGCCCGTAACCGGCGAGCGTGTATGAAGAGATTGATGAATGTGGAAGAAGCGAAAGAGGTTTGTTTGAATCGAAGCATTTTGCGGTCCATTGTTTCTGCCTACCCTAATGGGAGACAGGCGTGACAGATATGTATGTATGTATGTAGCTGTTTTTGATTTTATAGGCCTCATTTGTTCTTCAATTCACTGAGTCAAATTACCCAGGTTTTAATAAATATCAATTTATTTATATATAATAAAGAATATGCTCAAATTGTAAGTGTTTGTATTCGCTTGTGCCTCTTGTATGCATAATTATTAAGTGTGTAATTTAAATAAGAAATGAAACCAATATAAAGTTAATTTTTGTATATATTTTTACGAAGTAGGTACAGTCAGACGTACACGTGGTTTTATTATAGACACGAGCACAAAATGTTTGCCTAACTATACATATTGTAAGCACAAATGATATTGTAATACATTGTATAACAATTTGTACACTTTTGTATTTTTTAATATATATTAGTAATTATATTACATGTTTTTTTTTTTTATTTTACAAAGAAATAAACAGAACTCCTCAGGTTTTCCTCATTCCCTTTTAACGATGTATGCCCCTTGCTATTTTAAAACCAGATTTACCAGAGGGAGACTTTGTACAAAAGTCGTTTGCTTGGACACCTCTAGTCCCATTCGTGTTTCTACCGTGAAGCAGTCGTGTTTGCATGGCTGTAATGTCAATGTCAATGTTATGGTATATCTATTATTCATTATATTCTCTGAAAACACTATATAGAGGATAACTATTTCAGTTTTTTTTTATACAACTTAGAATGGCAAACAAGCTGATAGCCCACCTGATGGAAAGTGGTAAAAGGCCAACTATAGACATGAGCAGTACCATAGACATAACAGAGTATACTGTTTCGCCCATGATACCCCCCATGCGTTGACATTCCTGAGGACTCAGGTGTTATTCCTTTGTACCCTGCAAATTCACTGCCATATCCCACCCTTCAAACCGAAACACAGCCATGCAAATACAGCTGCTTCACGGTTGAAACACCAGAGGGAGACTTTGTACAAAAGTCGATTGCTTGGGTAACTCTGTTCCGTTCGTGTTTCAACCGTGAAGCAGTTGTGTTTGCATGGCTGTGTTTCGGTTTGAAGGGTGGGATATGGCGTGAATTTACTGGGTACAGAGGAATAACACCTGAGTCCTCAGGAATGGCAACGCATGGGGGGTATCATGGGCGAAACAGTATACTCTGTTATGTCCATGGTACTGCTCATGTCTATAGGCGTCGGTTACCACTTTCCATCAGGTGGGCCGTCAGCTTGTTTGCCATTCTAAGTTGCATAAAAAAAAAAAAAAAAAAAACGAATGGGACAGGTATCCAAGCAAACGACTTTTGTACAAAGTCTCCCTTTGGTAACTTTTTCAGTTAACGATAAGGTACCTACTGTTTGTTGTACCGATTTGGTTACTCGTTTAATATTGTGTCACAGTTAAATAAAAACAAAAAAATAGTTAAACATTATGTCTACATTTGACTGGTTATGTTTTAACTGTGACATATTAAAGAAATCTAATTACATATTAATAATTATTTAATACAATTTAGACATCGACTAGAACGTTTATTTATTTATAAATTTTTGTCCATTCACTTACAGTTTAAATATTAGATTATAACAGAAGTGTACACAGGCGGACTTATTCCTTATAAGGATCTTCCAGTCAACCTTGGAATTCGAAAGGAGATAGTGTCTATAGGGTTTGTATATAAAGCATAACATATGGTATATGGTGCAAAAATAATACAATAAGTAATAAATTATTAGTAGCTATATATAATGCCTAGTTAGTAACAAAACATAAATATTTTTTACTAACTCCTGACTCATTCGACATTATTTCTATTATATACAGGTAATTTATGAATATATTTTTTTTAATTAATTTTTTTTATTATTACCATAAATATACCATGCCATGGATACTTAAATTCTAATTTAATTGGTTATGTTTTTTAAAACTGGTGAATATGGTTTGGTAACCCCGCCTGCGCTATACGCTAGCAGGAGACCAGTGATAGGTGAGGATGAAAGCAGATTATTTAGCCCATCGTGACGAATTCAACAAGAATTAACCACCATAGGTTTCTGTGGGAACCGCATGGAGGTCGACCTGATAGAGTTAAATTGCTAGCATTGGGGCTATTAGACTCCATTACTAACAATCCCTTTCCTCTCTTTTGGTTATGTTTTAACCAATCGATCATAGCCGATGGTGTCTCATTGCTGTGCAATATTCCTTCAACTGCTTCCACCATGCACGTTTGGCCAGCGAGCTTTATCAGTGTTTGTGGAAGGTCGTCTCTCATATATAAGTCAGAGGGAGACTTTGTACAAAAGTCGTTTGCTTGGGTACCTCTGTCCCATTTGTGTTTCAACCATGAAACAGTTGTGTTTGCATGGCTGTGTTTCAGTTTGAACGGTGGGACATAGTAGTGAATTTACAGGGTACAGAGGAATAACACCCGAGTCCTCAGGAATGGCAACGCATGGGGGGTATCATGGGCGAAACAGTATACTCTGTTATGTCCACAGTACTGCTCATGTCTATAGGCGACGGTTATCACTTTCCATCAGGTGGGCCCTCAGCTTGTTTGCCATTTTAAGTTGTATAAGATAGTTTTTATATTTTAATAACATGGTAAAAATAATTATATTGTTATAAGTACATTATAAAGACTAGATAAATACTGATAACTAAGGCTTAAATGATTATTTGAAAATAAATTATTAGAATTCTTTAAATTAAACTACCAAGAACTACAATTTAATCACAGATATTTATTGAATTTGTGCAGATATAAAATATATAGGTAGATATGAATATACGTATTATATATATCTACTTGTTATGTCTTATTTATCGGAATACAAACATGTATCTAAGGGGGGGAAAGGGATTGTTAATAATGGTTGACCTCCACGCGGTTCCCCCTGGAAACCATCATGTTTAATTCTTGTCGAATTCATCATGGTGGGCCAACTAACCTGTATTCATTCTCACCTATCATCTTCCACTGGTGCCTCGTCGGTGTATACCGATAGCGCGGGCGGGGTTACCAATCCATTTTCAACCATTAAAAAAAAAACATGTATCTAAGAGACTGTCATTATATTAATCTTGATTTCTCTAGAATCTGTAATATTTTTTTTTAAAAGAAATCAAGCCTTTTTTTTATTTAAGGTTATTAACTGTAAAAGTGCGTTGATAGATCAGTCGGGATATCATTATAATTATAATATTTATTATATTCTAACTTATTATCTATTATACACTCCTCGCAAAAATTAAGGGAACATAAAATTTTTTGAAATTTTTAGGTGATTTTCAACAGGCTGTATTTCAGTGAAAAATAATCGTACAGGAAATTTAAAAAAAGGGTTTTGAAGCTTGAAAACTCTAGTTTTCAGATTTTTTGGTGAAAAAATTTTTTGAGCTCCGGTTTCCATGCAATTCTTAAACAAAGCTGAAAATAATTTTTTTCAAAATTTTCTAGGTTTCGTTTTTCACTCTATGGGCATGGAAAAATTTTTTCGAGCTACTCCATTGTATAGGTCTCTTAGCGTGTTTATTCAGCTTCAAAAATCGCTTTGGATGGCTCAATTACGACCATTTGTCTCCAAAATATTGAACTTTGAATGCAAAAGCATCCTTTTCCATGCAACTGCTAATATCTCTGGAACTACTGGTCTATTATGGTATGGAAAATTTTTAAGAAAAATTTTTGCTTGCTGTGCGACTATTATGGTATGGAAAATTTTTAAGAAAAATTTTTGCTTGCTGTGCGACCAGTAGTTCCAGAGATATTAGCAGTTGAATGGAAAAGGATGCTTTTGCATTCAAAGTTCAATATTTTGGAGACAAATAGTCGTAATTGAGCCATCCAAAGCGATTTTTGAAGCTGAATAAACACGCTAAGAGACCTATACAATGGAGTAGCTCGAAAAAAATTTTCCATGCCCATAGAGTGAAAAACGAAACCTAGAAAATTTAGAAAAAATTTATTTTCAGCTTTGTTTAAGAATTGCATGGAAACCGGAGCTCAAAAAATTGTTTCACCAAAAAATCTGAAAACTAGAGTTTTCAAGCTTCAAAACCCTTTTTTTAAATTTCCTGTACGATTATTTTTCACTGAAATACAGCCTGTTGAAAATCACCCAAAAATTTCAAAAATTTTTATGTTCCCTTAATTTTTGCGAGGAGTGTATTTTACTTATTATACATGCAGTTACTTAATGATTCAAACATAAAATTCACAGGTACACTTAAGTAGTTTATTTCTTAAGAAAACTAAGGTAACAATATAAAAATATGTTGTCATAGTGAGATTTTTTTTTATTTTAAGATAAGTAGCTATAAAAAAAAGAGAGTTTTATGGATGACGTAATATTGGCTTTTATATTATTTTATAATTTTCTAAAATAAATACTGGCACCAATTTTGGTTTCACCTTACACGAATTACAATAGTATTTGCTTTGTAATAATCTATCAAGTTTAAAAAGCGTTATTTTGCAACAATAAGCTTAAATTCCATTTTTTAATTTTATAATTTTTTTAATATGGCAAGATTATCCTCTGTCTCGCCATTTACGAGTATGTTTCGCTTGATGGCGACTTGTACCACTGAAAATAAAAAAAAAATAATAATAAACAATTATAAAAAAGTTTCACTTATCTTGTAATGGCGGGTTATACATAGCAAATACTATAATGAATCGTGTATAACGGAGTTTTTAATTCCCCGGTCACTCGATCTCCAAAAATGATCAGAGATATATAAAATTAACAAATTTAAGTGACCGCAACATTATTTTGTTTCACCAAAACTCGTTCTCGACATATAGATGCTGTTCCGCAAGTTTACGGCAGTGTAGCATCTCTCTTCGTCTAGCCGTCTACATTCTCGTTCGGAAATTGTAGACTTATAATTAATACGTGGGGCGCTCCACATTCCCCAATTTAATTATGTTGTCATATTAACCGAAAGCGTTGTATACGCTATGTATGGATTGAACATATTGTAATTGGCAAGCTTCCTCTTGGGTATACATTTTAATATCCACATCATAATAGTGAATGTGGCCACAAATAATGTGATTATAGATATAGCTACACCAATATATCGTTTTGTGCTCTTGCATATGAAGTATTTATCTTCGAGCTCGAATATCCGGCTGTTGTACAAGGATCGTGGTAAGGCGCATCTGAAAGAAAGAACGTGTTTTAAAATAACCTGTGTCCAGTTTTTTTTAATGGATGGAAATGGAATGGTCGGCCCGTCTGTACTATCGGGATAGGCTATCGAGGCATCAGTGAGGGAAGATAGGTGAGGATGAAGCAGGTCAGTTGGTCCATCGTGATGAATTCATCAAAAAATAACCACGATGGTTTCCAGGGAGAAAACCGTGTGGAGGTCGACCTGTTAGGGTATTTTGCTAGTAATGAAGATGAAATGATTGGGATGACTTAACTTCGTCAAAATAGATGTATTTATTCGACGTGCTGATTGATCTGCTTTCACCCTCCCCTATCATCTTTTACTAGTCTCTAGCCAGCATATAAAAATATCATCTAATAAGATTATTCGCAACTGTGATGAGTTTATGCAAAGCGGTCGATGTGATCTTATCTGAGAAACTTTTGAGATTAGCACGTCGTATTATCGGATGGATGGATTAAGTCACGTAATAAGTAAATATTGCTATGAGTTCATCAATGTACCAAGTCATTATAATGTCCGTTATTCTTAAGAATTTATTAATTCATTCTCTAGTGATACTCTTAACGATGAAGAATATTTTCATCCACGTCTATCATCAATTATCGGTACTCCATCAGCAAACACCGATAGGGTGAACTGGTTGCCGTTTCTTTATGATCAGTTTGAAAAAGAGCAGCATTTCATTTTTATTTATATAAATACATAACTATTAAGGGTACATATATCTAAATGTTTGGTTTAAACGAGTTAAGTAATTTAATCTTATTTACCAATTTAAAAGAAAAAGAGGATCTTACTTTTTAAAAGTCAGACTAAAGATGAAGAAATAGATAAAAAATTCCCGCGAAAAATAATGAATAGGGCAATGACCTTATTTTTTATTATAAATCATTACTATGAAGGCAAAAGTATGATGAATCAAGATTCAATAAAATTCTTATATCATCATGAATAATTACAACAATAGTGAGAAACAGATAAGAATAAAAAAATGTATAAATAAATATTTATGTATTCATAAATAGTTATACTGTAAGATATGCGAAGATTAAAAAGTGATGAAAGTACAATGACAATAAAAATGTGTCATGTAGATGTGTCATCGTGTTCATTTTAATCTAATATTATTATTGTTTATAATTTTCATTTTATCTAATACATATTTCGAAATTTTCAAAGATGACTCTGTACGTAGCTGAAAACTTCGTTCGCATCTCATGATAGGCATTATACGATTCTGGGGTGGGCAATAAAAGAAAGATCGAAATATTCATAATATGTATTCGAGGTTGAGTAATCTCTACTCTCTACAGTTTGTATGAAAAAAAAATTGAGTTTTTAGGTTTTTACAGGCAATGTTGCCAATTTTTTGTTTCATAAAAACCTTGCTTGGAATTCAACGAATTGTAAAAAAAAAAATGTTGAATAGGTCTAGCTTATGGTAGTCCAGCTGTCCTAGAGTTTTAAGCTTAGCAACACGTGCTGTCATTTATTTTTATTTGTATAGATAAGTGGTAAATTATTCATATTTTCACTTTATTGTACCACTTAAAAATAACAAATATAGTAAATATTAATGAAAAGTGGTACAACAGGTGGTCTTATCGCTAAGCAATCTCTTCCAGACAACTTTTCAGTAGAGGACGTTTTAAGTTAATAAAGAAATATTAAATTAGTTTTAACATTTTAATAATATTATAAAATATTCATTCTTTATCAAATATTTAAATTTAAAATACATAGATTGGATGGAGGAAACCACAGTCGTTTATTATGAAGCCTCATCTAAAAATAAAAAAAAAGTGTTTTAGTACATACTTGATTACTTGCTCTGTGGTACGTACCTAAGTACATTATGTACATTGTAGACCTACATATTTTATACTTATATTATGTAGATAGAGTGTCTCCCATACAAATGCTTCGAAAAAATCGGGTCAACATTTTTATACAATTTTGCATGATAAATAGTTATGAGTGGTTCCTTTATAACTTCCATATTTATTTTATTTTATAATTTCTGCATCTTTTTAATTCGTAGATACTAATTTTATTTATTAAATAGTACGTCAAGATACATTGTGTGCGTAAGTATATAGAACACTGATAAAAGAAAACGAGTCAGCTAATTTGACAATTAGCTAACAAATAGTTGACCCGTTTTTGAGACTCGAGGCTCTATCTACATAATCTAAGTGTAATAGATATACAAAGATTTTTTGTTTCCTATAAAAAATATTCATGTAAAAATATTACAATGTTTATTAATTAATATTTAATGTATTAATATTTTTATTAACTAAAATTTGTTATTCGCAAGTGATGTGCTTAGCAATGAACATTATTTCAATTGTTATTTTTTCTTTATTAACGACTTTTTTAAATTAATAGTTTGCAGTAATAATACGTATAATGGTATTTAATTCTCTTTTCCACTCAGGGTTTGAACTGAAGAAGAACTGGAACTGGAAGGGAACTCTTACAGAGTTAAGCTCGTCTGTTGTACACCATTATTTAATATATATTATATGTTTGTAATTTTTTGTGTACAATAAAGAATAAAGTAAAATAAAAATGTTGCATGCCAAGCTGGCTGAATGTTAAGGTTGCACAAAATATATAATATTACCTAAATTTACCACATTCATCGTAATAAATTTCATTTCATTTAAAAAGATCTATATTTACTTACTGGGCGCGTTTAGTTTTTGTTTACAATATCTAAACCTCTCATTCTTGGCCTCTTGTAAAATACCTTATGTTATATTCCATTAATTTTTGTAATAATTATTAATCCTATTAAAATGCGAAGGTTTATATATGTTTAACGATGGTTATTATATGTTTCTCTTTCACGCAAAAACTACTGATCGGATTTGAATAAAATTTGGTATACCTACGGGTAGTTTATATCCTAACTCAGCACATAGAATATTTTATAAATATTTATTTTATTCTATTCTATTTTATATACTGATTTACGCGGGTGAAGCTGCGGTATACAGCTAGTAATAATATAAATTATATAAATAACCAAAGTTTATTTATATTCATTCAAACTTACCTTACGTAGTCGTAGTCTTTGGGGTTTATCTGCAACCTCTTCACCCATACAATGTCGCAGTCACATACCCATGGGTTGCCTTGCAAGTCTAGGTGGAATAATCTACCAAAGGGTTTTAAAAGGTCTTCGTCCAGCTTCGACAGTCTCGATCCTCTGAGCGACAATTTCTCCATAAGGAAATCGTCGGCATCTTCCAACACCTCATGGCCAAATGCCAAACGACTGAAATACGTGAGATTCCTATTTCTCTCCAAATCCAAACTCAACAAACCGGGCAATGGAGCGAAAACGTAATCAGGAACTTCTTTGATCAGCAAATTGTTGAGTTTCAACCTCCTTAATCCTGGAACGTCCACGAAATCTTCCTCTGAAATTTCTTTGATTGGATTATTCGATAAATCCAAGTATTCCAAAGTAGTCGGGAGTTCGAAGATATCTTCCAAAGTGTTATCCGATATTGTTAACTGTCGTATATCGTATAAATCGGCGAAGAAGTTATCTGGAATTCTGTCGAGATCGATTCCTTTAATGCTCAGACTTTTGATCTTGTTTGTCAGTCCAAAGCCATTTCTATCGAATAAGTTTATCTCCATCATACTGGGCCCTAACCTGTTAAAGTCCAGTACAATTTTATTTAGATTGTTCAAATGGTGGAATCGAAGACTGCTGATTGCCGTGAACTTGTTGTTTGCCAGATTCAAATATTCCAATTTGTTCAAACCTCTAAAAACTTCTGGATCAATATATTCCAAGTTATTAAAGCTCAAATCCAAAATCTTCAGTTCAGGTAAAGCGAAGGCGGTCACAGCTATGTCTGTTATGTTATTCCTGTTCAGATACAGCTCGAGGAGTGTGTCCGAACGCAGCAAGTTCGACTTTTGTATACTTATCAAGTTGTTAGATGACAAATCTAGCGAGCACACCACATTTGGCAGAGTGTAATTGTTAATCAGTAGGTCTTGATTTTTAAACGAGCAATCAATTTCTTTACCTAGGTAATCTTCATTATTATTTCTATAACCACAAGTACAGATGTCGTCACACACGCTGATACTGTGGCTCGCGTAGCACTGTAACAAAATGATCGCGATAACACTCCAACTCGACATCATTTTGGATGTTAACTTGTGAAACTGAGCGAGCTATCATTTGTTTGACTATATGTAGCGGACTAGACGATAAGGCCATACGATAACTTCATAATTTAATCGTTTTTATACACAATTGTTTTTTTTTTATCTATTTCATGAATAGATAAAAATAATATTCAATCAATCTATAATAAAGTAGGGATTTATTTATTTATTTAACTCTTTATTGCACTATAAATAAAAATATACAATGACAAGTGAATAATTCAAATGAAATACAGTAACATAAATACAGATTGAAATATATACATAAAGGTACAAAAGGCGGTCTTATCGCTAGGGCAATCTCTTACAGACAACCTTTAGTTAAGGGAGAACAGATAGAAAAGGGCAGGTGGCGCAAGAGTGAATTAATAATTTTCGTGCATAAAATACAAAAACATGTAATGCACAAAAATATCAAATACATATAATTTATTAAACTACTTACTATAACAATATATATACATATATACACACACACACACACATATACATACACATACATATATACATACATATACACATATAACATACATAAACATACACATATAAATACATACATAGCACACACAAGGAAATATGACAAATCTAGTCCAAAAATTACAAAGGAGTGGAAAAGAGTAACTACAGTGAAAGAAAATGTGATTTGACTTGTCCTTTAAACGAAGCCAAGGATTGAGCACTCCGTATAGACGGTGGCAGTGAGTTCCATAAGCGCACTGCCTGAACAGAAAAGGATTTGGTGTAGTACACGGAGGTATGTGCTGGGGTTTTTAAACGGAGACTATTTGAGGTACGCGAAGTGTGACTCTGCACTTCACCGAGAAATGTAAATCGCTCTTTAAGATAGTGAGGTGTAAGAGGATTGAATAGAATGGAATAAAGAAGAGCCAATATGCCAATCTCGGCGTCGACGTATTGGGAGCCACTTGAGCTGAGTGCGAAAATTAGAGATGTGGTCGTATTTACGAAGTCCAAATATAAATCTAATACACAGGTTTTGGAGACGCTCAAGTTTATTAAGTTGGTCTTCGGTGAGATCAATGTAGCAGGTATCAGCATAGTCAAGAACAGGAAGGACAAGGGAGTGAGCAAGCGCAACTCTAGTGGCCATAGGTAAAAAATTACGTAATCTTCTGAGTGAGCCCACAATCGCAAAAACCCTCCTACTAATCTCTGTTATTTGGGTGCTCCAGGATAGCGTTCTGTCAAGATATATTCCGAGATCCTTTACAAAGTCTTTATAGTCCACAGATATCCCGTCGAACATTATGTTAGGTAGATTTTCCCAGCAAATTCTTGAAATATAGTTGAGGCAGGAAACTGTTTAACATAGCCATGAACAAACGGTCACAAGAAGACTGGAACAAATACACAACATCCAAAAAACAATATAAGAAACTCATACGCCGGAGAAAGCAAGAATGCTGGAGGCGTTTCTGTACAAACATAGAAAACAATAACCAGGCGATTAAAGTAAAATCATGTCTCTCTAATGAGAAAGATCATACAATAGGTTGCCTTAAGAAACCTGATAATAACTATACAAAGAACGACACAGAAACAACCGAATTGCTACTAACCACACATTTTCCAGGTTTCCAGACTACTGCTGAGTGGTCATGGGAACCATACAAGGAAAGGGAAACCAGCAGCTCGGACTGGGAAGTGGCAAACAGAGTTATAGATAAAGAAAAACTACTATGGGCAATCAGTACCTTTTTACCATTTAAAGCGGCAGGCCTGGATGGAATATTTCCAGCCCTTCTGAAATGGAGCGGGAGCATCATAGCTGACTATTTAGTACAGCTGTTCCGAGCGTGTATAGCTCACCGCTACATACCTTTGAAATGGCGTGAGGTAAAAATTATATTTATTCCTAAACCAGGTAGAGGAGATTACACCGTGGCCAAATCCTTTCGACCGATCAGTCTCACCTCGTTCTTTTTGAAAACTTTGGAGAGACTATGTGACAAAGAGATTAGATGCCAAGTCTCCTTGTGTAAACCTTTACACCCTAACCAACATGCTTACAGTGAAGGCAAGTCAACAGAATCGGCACTTCATAACGTAGTATCTCGAATAGGCAACGCATTGCAATCGAAGCAGCCAACCTTAGGTGCATTTATAGACATCGAAGGGGCATTCGACAAGACAAACTTTGCCAGTATAAGTCGGGCACTAGCTACACATGGAGTAGAAATAACACTTAGAGAATGGATACATAACATGCTTAAACAACGAGCTATACAATTTACTGTAAATACTACCACACGAGGAATCGTCGGTAGGGGCTGTCCACAAGGCGGCGTACTGTCACCACTATTGTGGAATATAGTCGTAAATGAACTCATAATAGAGCTCAACGATAACAGCCTCTACACGGTAGGTTATGCGGATGACATAGCTGTACTTTTAACAGGAAGCTTCGAAAGTACTCTGTGTGATCGCATGAGAGTAGCTTTTGACATAATTGAGAGATGGTGCGTACAGCATGAACTCTCTGTTAATCCTACAAAAACAGAATTAATCATGTTCACAAATAGAAGAGTTACATGTCCTTACAGGCTACCAAAACTCTTCAATACGGAACTGAAACTTAAGGAAGAAGTCAAGTATCTTGGCATAATACTAGACAGTAAATTGCTTTGGAATAAACATCTTGACTATAAACTTAACAAAAGCACAATTGCATTCTACCAGTGCAAAAAGATGCTAGGAAATAAATGGGGCCTTTCGCCAAAAATAACTCTATGGCTGTACAGGGCTGTAATCAGGCCAATGTTGGTCTATGGGGCACTAGTTTGGTGGCCGAGGACAAAACTATCGACCACTGCCGCCAAACTAAAAAGCTTTCAGAGACTGGTTTGCTCCTCTGTCAGCGGCTGCATGAAAACAGCTCCTACAACAGCAATAGAGTTGGCCCTTAACATAACACCCCTAGACCTGCACATACAGCAGGAAGCGGCCTTAGCCGCTATCCGACTAATGCATCTGGATCTATGGGGTAAAAATCACTACAGTCCCCACACTGCTATTCTGAACCAGGCAATCGAATATCAACCTTTGATTGCGGCTCCGTGTGACAGGACTCATAATCATTATATATTTAACAAAAAATACCAAGTACAAATAAAAGAAGAGGAAAAGGATCAATCCGGTGTACATGAATTACGCATATACACCGATGGCTCCAAAACTGAGAACGGTTCAGGAGCTGGAGTCTTTTCCTTAGACCTTAATATAAACATGCACATACCGCTTGGCGACCACAGCTCAATTTTCCAATGCGAATGTGTTGCAATAACCGAGGCTGCTGCAGTTGTACATAAGCTAGCAATAACTGGTTATAGCATTAGATTCTTATCCGACAGCGCAGCAGTACTAAAAACATTAAGAAACAACAAGACAAACAACAAACTAATAATTGAATGCCACCATTTACTGGATAGGATATCTTCCAATAACCGTATTATCCTCCAATGGATAAGAGGGCACAGTGGATCTTATGGTAACGATGCCGCAGACGAACTAGCTAGGAAAGGCTCAGGAACGAGGGTGGTAGGCCCGTATCCACTCCTTCCTCTTCCATTCTCACAATTTCGAATGTGGATTCGTCAAAGATCCTCTGACATACAAAACCAAAGATGGATACAGGCTACTGATTGCAGACAATCAAAATTGGCCGTACCTATGTTGAATCAACGACTATCAAAACGTTTATTACATCTAGACAGAAAAAACCTCAAAACCTCAAAACAATGATAGGGACAATAACGGGTCATTGTCCATTAAACAAACATCTATACACAATAGGAGCCACAGACAGCCCTCTATGTCGAGGCTGTTTCAACGCCGAAGAAACGGCAGCTCACGTAATCCTGGAATGTGAGGCTGTGGCCCATCAACGTTTAGAAATCCTCGGAACGGTGAGGTCGCTCCGTGAGGCCTGTGAAGAACCCAGGAAGCTTCTGCGCTTCTGGACGGAGCTAGGTTGGCTGCACTAGCCACGACTCATACGCACAATGGCCCAAATGAGAGGCTAAGTGCGGAAAATGGAGTCCCTTTCACATTCACATTCACATAGTTGGGGCTCCCGATAATAATAGCCTGCGTTTTATTAGGGTTTACAGTTAATCCAAATGATTTACACCAGCTCGAAATGTGTGCCAGATCTTTGTTTATTGAATATATCGCAGAGTCTAACTCATGAAATGGAGCGTGTGAGTAAATTTGAAGATCATCTGCATAAAGGTGGTAGGAAGAGCGAAGTTGAATAGTGATGGTGTTAATAAATAACGAAAAAAGTAATGGAGATAAGACGCCACCCTGAGGTACACCAGCTAGCGTGCGACACCATGATGAAAAGCTATCTTCAGTACGAATGCGTTGCTGGCGTCCATTCAGGTAACTTTGAAACCACTCGATTACGGCTGGAGATATGTTGAGAGAGCGCAATCTTCCTAATAATATATCAAAATCGACAGTATTAAAAGCATTACTTAGGTCTAACAATGTTAAAACCGTAAGCTGTGAGTTTTCCATACTATGACGGATATCGTCAGTGATTTTGACAAGAGCAGTAGTCGTACTATGACCGGCACGGAAACCTGATTGGAGGGGATTAAAAAGATCATTCTTGGATAGGAATTCATTTAGTTGTTGATGGACAAGTCGCTCGAGAGCTTTAGAAAGAAATGGAAGAATGGAAATTGGACGGAAGTCTGAAAAAGATGTTGGATTGGGTTTTTTAGGGAGAGGAAGTATGTGTGCGTTTTTCCAGACAGAAGGGAAAACTCCCGAGGACAAGGAATTATTGAAAACCAATGTAATAATGGGAAGAACAATGTCAAGAATGGGAAGGATCATAGTACGACTTATGTCATCTGGCCCCACAGCATTAGAAGTAATAGCTAGCAGGCTCTTCTCAACATCACAGTCCGCAACTGGAGGGATGATAGGTGAATAATGAAAAGGCAGGTTAGTTAGCCCATCGTGATGAATTCACCTATTCTATTTATTTATTTGATTAAAAAATGAATCATCATAATTTATTATTTTGTCATCATAGTGCAATATCCACGTATGTGACTGTGTGATGACGAAATACATATATCGTCATAGTCGTAAAATACTGACGGATCTGACGAATATAACATATATTCGTCAGATCCGTCAGTATTCTACGACTATGACGATTTCATGACAGCCACGTCAGACATTATCAAATATGTTGAAAATCAAAACCATGGCCTGTAATATAGTATAGTATAGGTACCTATATAATCTCTACTGTATTAAAGTAACAAGGTAAGAAATAAGGACAAACCTGGTTTACGTAGTCCATGCTTGTAGATTTTACCATCATATCAGTCGTTGACTGTCCATGTTGAACAAAGGCCTCCCCCCTGAAGGGGTTTTGTCAGTAGTTGCCACGCTTGGCTGGCGGGTTGGCAATCGCGGTTAGGCTTTGGTGATGTTTTGAGAGAGACGCTACTGCCCGTTCCTCGATCATTTAGTTCCCATAGTCGCCTCTTACAACACCCACTAGAAATTTCTTTCTAGTGGCGTATTCTATTCCGGGACCATACGGTCAATTATATTCAATAATATAATAATAATTAACAATATTATAATACCCCACTCCCCCCACAACTATATAGTTGTTCAGAATGTTACAAGACTGTATCAATTGGATGGTCATGGTCAGGACAAAACTCTCTAGACTGTAGACATCTGCTACGAAAATATTTATCAGAAGTTCCTCAAACGAAAAAATACAGGTTTTCCACGGGTAACAATAAAATAACCAAGATTTAAAGAAATACACTTTATTTCTTACCAAAATTGACCTAAGAACTGAACTGTATTCGAGTTTGAAGTACAAATGTATTGTTATATAGGTAATATTTATTATAAGGACCTTATAATTCTAATACAATTCAACATTCGTTATAGTATTTTATAGAAGACATATTTAATAGACATAATTTTAGTTTTTAGTAGATATATGTACCTATTTTAAATGCATTCATGACAAAATGTTAGCAACAATTTTCAAAACTAATTGAAAAATATTCATTATTTTAGATAAATTATTTTAAAAAATTATCTTGGGACTTTGCAATCATTTCGCATGAACTTTTAAAATGATTATAGTATTGTTTCAGTATCGTCCTCGATTAGCTTGTGGTATGCCTTTTGTCGTTGGGTCTTCGTGTGCCTGAAACAAAAATATATACAATATACATGTTAATAGTAACATAATCTCACATCGTCGATGTATACAGATAGCTAGCTATTTCCCACAGCTTTGCGTGCGTTAATATAGTAAGTATTCTATGTGTTAACTGAGTATATAACCTACATTTAGCACTAAATTTCATTCAAATTTGTTCAACTGTTTAAGCGTGATTGAGTAATAAACATATTTATAAATTTCCATATTTACGGCATTAATACAATCAGGTCTGCTGAGCTGTTTATAACTATAGGCAATGGCAACCATTTTTTATTATGAGGGCCGTCAACTTGGCAGGCAGGAGGGCATTAACTTCTCTTCATTTAAGAGATTTTCATTTCATTTACCAGAGGGAGACTTTGTACATAAGTCGTTTGCGCGAGCACCTCTGTCCCATTCGTGTTTCTACCGTGAAGCAGTTGTGTTTGCATGGCTGTGTTTCGGTTTGAAGGGTTTTTTTTTGATGGGTGAAAATGGTATGGTAATCCCCGTCTGCGCTAACGGGATACGCTTGCGGAGCACCAGTGAAGGGTGATAGATGAGAATGAAAACAGGCCAGTTAGCCCATCATGATGAAATCATCAGGAATCAACCACGATAGTTTCCAGGGAGAACCGCGAGGAGGTCGACCTGGTTGGGTATATTGCTAGCAATGGGATTCTCAGTCTCCATCACTAACAATCACTTTCCCCCCCCGGTTTGAAGGGTGGGATATGGCAGTGAATTTACAGGGTACAGAGGAATACCACTTGAGTCCTCAGGAATGCTGCTTTAACCATGCTGTGTGTACACATGTCTGGGTCTCAATCTAGTTCAAACTATTATCTTTATATAAATGTTTATAATGTTATTACCTGTTGTGTATAACTTTTAAATTAAAAAAAAAAACAAATACAATACCTTCCTATATATACACACACACACACATATATATATATATATATATATATATATATATATATATATATATATATATATAAATATTGAAATTTATAAATATGTTTATTACTCAATCACGCTTAAACAGTTGAACAAATTTGAATGAAGTTTAGTGCTAAATGTAGGTTATATACTCAGTTAACACATAGAATACTTACTATATTAACGCACGCAAAGCTGTGGGAAATATATATATAATAAATGTTAAAATAAATGAATATGTATTATCTATATTAGAAATTTACGTTATTTATTTAATTCAATTATTATAAATATTTAGCTGTGACTACGTTCCTCCATAGGTTGGTTCTACATCCTATACAAATAGTACGTATATACCAAATGAGATAATGATAAGAAAGTTATATGATAACGCGTGTCTATGATCATAACAAGGCAATTGAGAGCGTTCTTAGCTTCACCTTGACGAAGAGTGTCACAATTATCTGTCAATTTTTAAAACAATTGAAGAATTAAAATTCAAAATTCAAAATTCAAAAATCATTTATTCATGTAGGACATTTTAGCCGCTTATGAACGTCAAATTTTTACATTATAATTTTATATTTACCCTACCGTCCAGTTCGGTATATAGATCCAATTGAGAAGAACTGGCAAGAAACTCAATTGAATTACTTTTTTTCTTTTAAAGCCAGTTCATTTACAATGTATATTTATATAGGTGTCTATGTCTAACATTAAATGAAAATTCAGTGCATGAACAACTATTGCCATGCACACTCGTCATTCAAGTAATCGTTTAGTGAGTAATAGGCTTTGCTCAGTAAATATGATTTAACAGATGTTTTGAATTTATTTAAGGGTAATTCCAACATATCCTTTGGTATCTTATTGTAAATTTTTATACCTATTCCCATAAAAGACCTATTAACTTTTTCTAAACGATACTTGGGGACAGCAAGTTTGTCTTTAAATCTAGTATTAATATTATGAATATTGCTGTTTTTTGGAAATAAGTCAAGATTTTTATGAACATATAGAATATTTGAATATATAAATTGAGAAGCAACGGTGAGAATATTTGCCTCTTTGAATTTCTCTCTTAATGAGTCACGACTCTTCATACAGTAGATCGCTCGAACGGCACGTTTTTGTAATATGAATATATTCTTAATATCTGCCGCTTTTCCCCATAGTAATATTCCATAAGAGAGTAAACTATGAAAATAACTAAAATAGACTAATCTAGCAGTATCAGTATCAGTGTACTGTCTAACTTTACGCACGGCAAAAGCTGCTGAACTTAGTTTCGCTGCAAGGCTTTGAATTTGTGCACCCCATTGTGTTTTATTATCTAGTGTGATTCCTAGAAAGACAGTAGATTCTATAAATTCGAGAGATTCGTCATTTAATTTAATATTGCAATTAGTATTAAAACTTTTAGATAGAGAGAAATTAACACATTTTGTTTTTTAGCGTTTAACATAAGATTGTTAGTTGTAAACCAGTGCAGGAGACGCCGCAAAGCACTATTTACATCGTCATAATTATTAGTCATTCTATTAACTTTAAAAATCAATGAAGTATCGTCTGCAAACAATACTATGCCGCATCTATCCTGCATGGCATATGGGAGATCATTAATGTAAACTAGGAATAAAAATGGACCGAGAATAAATCCTTGAGATACACCCATTTGCACAAGTGACCCGTCAGACGTAGCGTTGCTAATCTTCACTTTCTGTATTTTATCAGATAGATAAGATTTTATTAAATTTAAAGCATTGTCTTTGACGCCATAAAAAGCAAGTTTTTTTAGCAATGTATTATGATCAACGCAATCAAAAGCCTTAGAAAGGTCACAAAAAACACCTATCACATCCATTTTAGTTTCCCATGCAGCAAATACGTGTCTAAGCAACTCTGCACCTGCGTCTGTAGTTGAACGACCTTTGGAAAAACCGAATTGACTATTGTGGATTAAATTATTTAAATTGAAATAACTGACATGTTGCATAAGGATTATTTTTTCAAAAATTTTACTGAGTGCTGGGAGTATGGATATAGGTCTATAATTTATTGGGTCACTCCTATCTCCAGATTTAAAAAGCGGTATGATTTTACTAATTTTCATTATGTTAGGAAATTTACCTTCATCTATACATTTATTGAAAATAAAAGCAAGAGAGGGCGCAATAATTTCCATTATACTATCCAGTATTTTAACAGATATACCCCATAGATCCTCTGTTTTTTTATTATTAAGTTGTTTGAATATTTTCATTATTTCTACTGATGATGTATGTCTAAAGTTAAATACAGCTGATGACTTGCTAACATTGTCTGTTAGTAAAGTTTCAGCAGCAGACGGGGAAGATTTTAGAGCCTGTGTCGTAATTAATGGAATATTAGTAAAATAAGATTCGAATGTATGCGCGACCTCTGTGTCGGAATTTACCAATTTGTTATTAATATTTAAAGCTATTTTGCTATTTTGAAAATTAACTTTTCCAGTTTCGCTATTTATTACTTTCCAAGTGGCTTTTATTTTATCTTTAGATTTAGTTATTATTTTACCTAAATAGAGAGACTTAGCTGTATGACAAACCTTTTTAAATATTTTCGAATAAGATTTTACATGTTCATGAAATAAGGGATCGGATATATAGCTTCGTTTTTCGTAAAGTTCGTAAAGATTAGCCCTAGACCTATAAATACCAAACGTGGCCCAGTCACAAAACTTTGATTTTACACTAGTTGAAAATGTTTTTGTTTTAAATTCACTGCTAGCTTCATGTTCAATTAAATTAAAAATATGTTCACATACAATGTCCGGGTCATATTGAGGTACTATGACACTAGATATTTTATGTTCAATTTTATTTTTAAAACGTGCCAAATTCTTTTGTGTTATTTGTCTGCATGTAATTGTTTGAGTCCCTTTGGATCCCTTAGTTTCAATTATAACTTTTTGTCCGTAATGATCAGATCCAAGACAGTCGAAATTCATTTCCACCTTTACTTCACAATTACAAAAAACATTATCTATACAAGTGGCAGAATTTCCTGCGACCCTAGTGGGTTCTAAAAAAAGATTGTGCAAATTAAATGATTTAAATAAGTTAATCAATCTTAAGCTTATTGAGCATTCCGATAATAAATCAACATTAAAATCGCCACATACAAATAATGTTTTATTCCTCCGTGCGACTCGTCTCAATGCTTCCTCCATAGCCAGTTCAAAAGAATCAAAACAAGCCGATGGCGGACGATAAACGCAAATTATTATACAAGTAACTAATTCTACGCAAGATAGTTCAATTGTTTGCTCAATAGAAATATTTACAATGTCTTGACGGTTTTTATATTCTACATCATTATGTACTACATACTAAAAAAAAAAACAATATTTCTGTGTTATAGCTATTTTTTTTTATACAACTTAGAATGGCAAGCAAGCTGACGGCCCACCTGATGGAAAGTGGTAACCGTCGCCTATAGACATGAGCAGTACCATGGACATAACAGAGTACACTGTTTCGCCCATGATACCCCCCATGCGTTGCCATTCCCGAGGACTCAGATGCTATTCCTCGATTTACGATATATATAAAGGTAAATAAAGTATTCCTTTATGTATATGTCATCCTAACATACAGTCCACGGGCAGGGGGGAGGGATTGTTAGTAATGCGGACTATTAGTCCCATTGCTAGCTATATACCCTATCATGTCGACCTCCACGTGCTCCCCTCTGGAAACCATAGTGCTGAATTCCAGGTGCATTCATCACGATGGGCTAACTGACCTGCTCTTTCATCCTCACCTATCATCCCTCACTGGTGCCCCGCCGGTGTATACCGTTAGCGCAGGCGGGGTTACCATTCCATTATCATCCATTAAAAAAAAAGTCGGATATCTCATTCCAACTCACAGTCTCGCTAACCATGTTGATTCCATCGACGAATTCGCTTGCCATTTGTCTAGAGGGTCTGGTGTTGACAGTGATCGTATACCATCAGATGGGCTGTTGCTTGTTTGCCATTTTGGTGGTATAAAAAAAAATAAACACGTCTGGCACGTGGCATTTTAAAGAGCAGTGTTGTCTCATAAGAAAGATAACGTTTACTATGTCGCAGTTGCCTTATCAGTATGTTTTAAAGGAGCCATTCAATTAGTCCACATGGATATGAAGTTACTTCGTCATCTCTGTCTCTAGTTGGACGTCTGACTGATTGTCTGCATTGATCATTGGCTGATACTGCGATCGTAGGCGAATTTCATAATGTTTTCATTTTTGAAAATTGGAATTTATTTTATCTGAAAGGATATATTTACAGACTGGTCTCATAGATTTTTTTTCAAATTCGGTATTGTAGTTTAGTTTATAAATATCAATTGTTTTCAACAATTGGTACTGAAACGGTTGAAGTTTTTTTTTTTTTATTAAATCTTAAATTATTTAAGAATATTGAGAGATTATAAAAATATTTTTAAGTGGAGCAATGAAGAGCAAAAAAGGAAATATTTTTTCATCAAATGATCTAAAAAATTGAGTTGGTGTATATAAATATGCTAATTCTGTTTATTAATGTAGTTACTTATTAATTTTATTACATTTATATAAAAATACCGTCTGTTGATGTGCTATAATATATATATATATATATAGGATATATATATATTTATAGGATTACCAACAAGATACAGCTACAATAAAGCTAAATAATACAATACACTGGCAGATCAGATCTCATATATGTATATGTATATATATATATATATATATATATATATATATATATATATATATATATATATATATATATATATATATATATATATATATATATATATATATATTTTCTTTTCTTTTTTTTTTTTATAAAAAACTATAATTGCCAACTTATCTAAAAAGGTTAATTTTGAACAGCGCACATAGCAACTGGTAACAAACAATGCTTTTACAATTAGTGTTAGTAGAACTAGGTTATTACCAATTACGGTTATCACATTTCTAGACTATCTTATTTGCTTTTGGTTATCTAATAACAAACAATTTACAAATACTTCATTAGGTGTGTTTTCAACCGACTTCAAAAAGAAAGTTCACGATTTGGTTTAATTTTTTTTTTGTATCTATTTTATGTCTGTTACCGAACTCCATCAGTTGTAAACCGATTTTTTATCTGAAAGGATACCACTTACGGATTGATCGCAGATAAATATCATAATCATTTCAGCAGTTTAGTTTTTAAATTAAAATAACTGCTTTAGACACAGTTGAAGTCGTTTTTTGTTTGTCATTTGTCGTTGAAGGGGGTGGGAAGGGATTATTAATAATAGACAATCGTGATTTATTTATTATTGAATTTGTCACGATGGGCTAACTGGCCTGCTTCATCCTCACCTATCAGCCCTCACTGGTGCCTTGCCAGTGTATACTGATAATGCAAGCGGAGTTACTATTCCATTATCATCTATTAAAAAAATACTATATCATCTTTAGATTCTAAATCGATATATGAAGGCAATGACCGATAAGAACATAATCACGAATAATGTTAGCTGTTAGGTACTTAGCACGACTTTTAGGTACACATATGTTGTACTATTCTCTCTATATTATCTCTAAATAGCACAGTACAAAGCGTTTGTTTGCTTCTCCGCGTACTTTTTCTAAACAACGCAATGCATTTTAATTAAGAGCGTATACAATAAACTGAAATTCCGAAGTTTCGGACACAATTTTGTGACTTCGTTCATTCGAAATCTGCTCCATAAAAATTTAAAAAACAGATTTTGTAAATTTTGTACAGTATTTTCGTGTGATTTTGACATCAAATTTGTGTTTAGTTTGGCCCCGAATATTCTCTCTCCGGTCTCACTGTCATTTAGTAAATGAATGAACATTAAAAGAATTTGTCTTGTAAAGAAAAAAAAAAAAATTTTTTTTTGGTCCTTATTTTTTTATGGACTTTTACATCTTAGTATGAACGGATAAATGGAAGGATAGACGGATATTTGTTACTCTTTTCCACAAAAACTACTGAACGGATTTGAATAAAATTTTGTACACTGCTAGGTCATATCCTAACTTGGCATATAGTATACTATATATTGTGATTCACGCGGGTGAAGCCGCGGGAAGTAATAATTTATAAAGAGCATTATAATTATGCCTACCTTGATAACAATAGATGTCCTAGGTCCAGTGTTCCATAATTCGCCGTTTTCGTCGACGAATGCCGCCTCCACTGCCACCGTGTAGAGACCGGGCGCGTTCACGGACACTAGTTGCTGTGCTGAGAAGAAATCGCGGACCGGCGTCACGGTCTGTACGGCGGTCAACACTGGAGGGATGTTCGTTAGCTCCACGGTCTGCGACATAAAACGAAACGAAAAAATAAAATTTTTTTTGGCGAGAATTTCGTAAGTTACAAATAGGTAGAGAATATGAAACTATTAATTGAAAAAAAAAAACAATAAATAAAAAGAAAGTATGTGTTTTTTTTTAATAGATTGAAATTGACAAATACTTTAATGCTATTCAAGTATTTTTAAAAATATGTGCCTTAAAAATCATATTATCACGATTATTGACACTGTCCTTGATGTAGTCGACAAAAAGAGTCAAGATAAATTCTTTTAGGTTCTTATTTATGTACACTTTATTGCACCATTTATAGAATAGTAAACACATTTAACTGTAATAAGAAATGATACAAAAGGCGGTCTTATCGCTAAGCAATCTCTTCCAGACAACCTTTGGGTAGAGAACATTGAGAAAACAAAGAAAAATAAAGGGTAGGTGGCGCACTATTATATTAGTACTAATTATATATAAACAAACATATACAAAGATATATACATATACATGTATATACATATATATACATAAACAAATACATACACAAACATACACAAACTTAAAAGTACACATACAACAGGAGAGAGTGACACTGGAAGATGAAGATAGAACATGGGAAAAAATAGTTACTTAAAGGGAGAGATAATGGGCTTTAACAGAGGTTTTGAAACTAGCGAGAGATTGAGCACACCGTATAGAGGTAGGTAGTGAGTTCCACAGTTCTTCGTTCTTTTTCAATAAAATTATTCTCTTAAATCGAAGATGTCACTGTAACATCTACTTACTTTACTGCTATCTATAGTGTAGACAAATTACTGCACGTGTTTCTATTTGATTAGTAATTTATAGTAATAAAATGTACAGGCTCATACATTTAATGAAAATACACTTATTTTCATTACCTTTTCATTGGTTCGTGGATGCGGAGTGGCGGTGACGGTGATTTGAACACCTTTCACTTGCCGCTTCGGTTGACGCTTGCTGCGAGATGAAAAAGTGTGTTATGAGTACAACAATAGATGGCACTGTTTGTTATACGATTGCCCGAAACAAGAGTGAAATGTTTTAATTTACGACACAGATAGTTATGGTGTAATAAAGTTGTAGTGCGACGGTGAGAGCGAGTGTGAGAGCGAGTTGTAGAGCGACGGTGAGAGTGAGTGTGAGAGCGAGTTGTAGTGCGACGGTGAGAGCGAGTGTGAGAGCGAGTGTGAGAGCGAGTTGTAGAGCGACGGTGAGAGCGAGTGTGAGAGCGAGTTGTAGTGCGACGGTGAGAGCGAGTGTGAGAGCGAGTTGTAGAGCGACGGTGAGAGCGAGTGTGAGAGCGAGTGTGAGAGCGAGTGTGAGAGCGAGTGTGAGAGCGAGTGTGAGAGCGAGTGTGAGAGCGAGTTGTAGAGCGAGGGTGAGAGCGAGTTGTAGAGCGAGTGTGAGAGCGAGTGTGAGAGCGAGTTGTAGAGCGACGGTGAGAGCGAGTGTGAGAGCGAGTTGTAGAGCGACGGTGAGAGCGAGTGTGAGAGCGAGTTGTAGTGCGACGGTGAGAGCGAGTGTGAGAGCGAGTTGTAGAGCGAGGGTGAGAGCGAGTGTGAGAGCGAGTTGTAGAGCGAGGGTGAGAGCGAGTGTGAGAGCGAGTTGTAGAGCGAGGGTGAGAGCGAGTTGTAGAGCGAGTGTGAGAGCGAGTGTGAGAGCGAGTTGTAGAGCGACGGTGAGAGCGAGTGTGAGAGCGAGTTGTAGAGCGACGGTGAGAGCGAGTGTGAGAGCGAGTTGTAGTGCGACGGTGAGAGCGAGTGTGAGAGCGAGTTGTAGAGCGAGGGTGAGAGCGAGTGTGAGAGCGAGTTGTAGAGCGAGGGTGAGAGCGAGGGTGAGAGCGAGTGTGAGAGCGAGTGTGAGAGCGAGTGTGAGAGCGAGTTGTAGAGCGAGGGTGAGAGCGAGTTGTAGAGCGAGTGTGAGAGCGAGTGTGAGAGCGAGTTGTAGAGCGACGGTGAGAGCGAGTGTGAGAGCGAGTTGTAGAGCGACGGTGAGAGCGAGTGTGAGAGCGAGTTGTAATGCGACGGTGAGAGCGAGTGTGAGAGCGAGTTGTAGAGCGAGGGTGAGAGCGAGTGTGAGAGCGAGTTGTAGTGCGACGGTGAGAGCGAGTGTGAGAGCGAGTTGTAGAGCGACGGTGAGAGCGAGTGTGAGAGCGAGTGTGAGAGCGAGTGTGAGAGCGAGTGTGAGAGCGAGTTGTAGAGCGAGGGTGAGAGCGAGTTGTAGAGCGAGTGTGAGAGCGAGTGTGAGAGCGAGTTGTAGAGCGACGGTGAGAGCGAGTGTGAGAGCGAGTTGTAGAGCGACGGTGAGAGCGAGTGTGAGAGCGAGTTGTAGAGCGACGGTGAGAGCGAGTGTGAGAGCGAGTTGTAGTGCGACGGTGAGAGCGAGTGTGAGAGCGAGTTGTAGAGCGAGGGTGAGAGCGAGTGTGAGAGCGAGTTGTAGAGCGAGGGTGAGAGCGAGTGTGAGAGCGAGTGTGAGAGCGAGTGTGAGAGCGAGTGTGAGAGCGAGTGTGAGAGCGAGTTGTAGAGCGACGGTGAGAGCGAGTGTGAGAGCGAGTTGTAATGCGACGGTGAGAGCGAGTGTGAGAGCGAGTTGTAGAGCGAGGGTGAGAGCGAGTGTGAGAGCGAGTTGTAGTGCGACGGTGAGAGCGAGTGTGAGAGCGAGTTGTAGAGCGACGGTGAGAGCGAGTGTGAGAGCGAGTGTGAGAGCGAGTGTGAGAGCGAGTGTGAGAGCGAGTGTGAGAGCGAGTTGTAGAGCGAGGGTGAGAGCGAGTTGTAGAGCGAGTGTGAGAGCGAGTTGTAGAGCGACGGTGAGAGCGAGTGTGAGAGCGAGTTGTAGAGCGACGGTGAGAGCGAGTGTGAGAGCGAGTTGTAGAGCGACGGTGAGAGCGAGTGTGAGAGCGAGTTGTAGTGCGACGGTGAGAGCGAGTGTGAGAGCGAGTTGTAGAGCGAGGGTGAGAGCGAGTGTGAGAGCGAGTTGTAGAGCGAGGGTGAGAGCGAGTGTGAGAGCGAGTGTGAGAGCGAGTGTGAGAGCGAGTGTGAGAGCGAGTTGTAGAGCGAGGGTGAGAGCGAGTTGTAGAGCGAGTGTGAGAGCGAGTGTGAGAGCGAGTTGTAGAGCGACGGTGAGAGCGAGTGTGAGAGCGAGTTGTAGAGCGACGGTGAGAGCGAGTGTGAGAGCGAGTTGTAATGCGACGGTGAGAGCGAGTGTGAGAGCGAGTTGTAGAGCGAGGGTGAGAGCGAGTGTGAGAGCGAGTTGTAGAGCGAGGGTGAGAGCGAGTGTGAGAGCGAGTTGTAGAGCGAGGGTGAGAGCGAGTGTGAGAGCGAGTGTGCGAGTGCGAGTGCGAGTGCGAGTGCGAGTGCGGGTGGTGGTACCTGAGCGGCGGCACGGGCAGCACGACGCCCTCGAGCTTAAGCGCGAGGCGGTGCGCGAGCGGCAGCGCGGCGGCGTGGTCGGCGGGCGGCGCGCGCGGCGCGGGCGTGAGCGCCAGGCGGCAGCACGCGCCGCCCGCGCCGCCCGCCGCCGCGCCGCGCGCCCACACGCTGCCTCCGCACGCCGCGCGCACCGCCGCCAACATCGCCTCCGCGTGCTGCGCACACACAGACTCACTACAGTACACCTATCTCTGCGGTCACCATGTAAATTTGGCTTTATCTACATTCCCGCTGAATCCTCTGCGGAATAAGTGAAGAGAGTCGACTGCCATAGATATCTATTCTTACACCTCCACCTTGATTCTGTTTTCAAAATTCGTCTCTAGCATGTGCGACCATTCTACACATTCTTAACTCTTTCTCAGAAAAAAAATCCTATCTGTTAGAATAGATTGGTGAATTAACATCATACACTTTGACATTATATATCTGTTCATACCATGAATACGCAACTAATAGTAACACATGATATTTACATAGGAGCGAAATAACTTTTTCACGAGTCTTCTTATCAGCTCCGCAACATTTCCAAAATGGCTTTATATCTTTAACTTATAAATCACAAGGAATCCCATAGTACCGATAGATTTAAAAACCTATTCTAAATTCTATTTTTAAATAAATTTTTAAACATTCTAGTACCAAATTTAAAGTTTCACATAACAGCGTAAGATATTTATAAAGATATTTAGCTTCGAGTCAGATTGTTTCGATAATACAATGTCTAAACTTAGGCTCACAGCCTTATAATAATAATATAATATTAATAAAGAAGTATAGACTTCAGAAATATAATGAGAAATCTTATTAATAAACATTTTGCGACCATTACAATTGCACGGGCGGTGGTATTCAAAGTATATCGATGTCGAGTTGTAGACTAATGTCAATGCTATCTAATCCCTAGATTGACGGATTGTGTCAAGTTGACAGCTGTCATATGACAGATAAACTGCGATGTCTGATCCCCATACAAAGAGCTCAACATTATCCATCTACTTTATTTAGATATCTGTGGATTATATGTAATGAAAAATAACATTATTAATAAATATTTGATAAATGACTCTTTTTGAACTATCAATTAATAAAAAATAGCATCTTCAATACTGTAACGTTTACCGACACTCGTCAGAGGAAAAATCCACAGAATATTGACAACGGCTGTACGAATAATAATATAAAGTTGAAAATTATTTATACAATAGTTTGCCAGATAAATTATATAAATAAAAAAAAAAGAACTTACCCTGTGAGTAAAACCAGGTCCAGTGGTGGGGTCGTCGAAAAGTTTAGTCGATATTTTGGCTATGGCGATGCTCGGCGCGAGTGCGATCATCTCCTCAAGGGTGGTGGCTTTCAACTCTTTGGTGATGAGCTCAGCAGGCCGCTCCTGCTGATTGGACGTGATGCGCTCCAGAAACTGGGCCATTTGGTTGTAAGTGTGCTGGGCACTGAGTAATCGTGATAAAGAAATAATATATTTCAAATAAGATATGTACCTGTCACTTAACCCATTGAACTTATCTGTTAACCTTATTTTAATTTGATAATTTCGTCTAATTACTGTTTTATGAACTATAATAATCTAAAATTATAATAATAAATATTTCGCTGTGATATCAAAATGAATTTCAGAATCGAGCCTAGTACTCTTTATTTTCGCCAAAAATTACATGGTCCTTTGAGCCGGATCGTTATTGTTAAATGTGTTGTGCAAGTAAGATTTTAGTAGTTTAAACTATATATTTAGTTTTCGTTTTGGTACTTTTTCTGAGACAAACGTATCAGCAACGACTTTATAAGGCAAAATCAAGTAATGAAAATAAGATATAAATTTGAAAATTATTATTAACAGTTATTATAAATTAATTTGATTGTTATAATTCGAATTAGGTTTTCAAGCTGGATTACTAATGTGAACAGTAAGCTCGATATAGTCCTTCTAGCCGGATTACTGGTGACTGTAGAGAAAGGATACATATGTAAGTGGCGCAGCGTGGAGTTGTCGGCGTGGAAGGCGGAGCGCGCCAGCGCGGCGTACCGGCGCGCCGCCGCCGACAGCGCGCGCGCCGCGCGTCGGGTCGCGCCCGCCGCCGCCCCCGCGGCCGCCGCGCGGTCCCGCGCTGCCTGCCACACGCAAATCGGGACGTACAATGATCTTACACTGATACAAATTATTCGCGAAATACTTATGTAGCGAGTATATTGATACTTGATTTATGAGCGCTACGAGAAGATATATTAAGTTTATACTTTTGGTGGAAATGACGCGGGTAGTGTGCGTACAGTCTGGCGCATTTTATGGCATACTTCTGTGTTTGATTGTTAACGTTAGTGCTAGGTAATAACGGCAGGCGTAGTACCTGGGCGTGCGCGTGCGCAACGGCGGGCGGCGGTTGCGTGCAGAGAGCGCGCGCGGCGCCGGCGGCGCGGGCCAGCGCGGACAATGCCTGCGCACGCGCCGCCATGCTGGCGGCGGGCAGCGGTGCGCAGCCGCTGCAGCCGCTGCAGCCGGCCGCGCAGCCCGCGCCCCAGCCGCAGCCCGCGCCGCCCCAGCCGCTGCTCGCCTCCCACGCCGCGCTTGCCGCCTCTAGCCCCGCGATACCTGCGCCCACCAACCGCAAACAAAGTGAAGCAGCCGCTTAGGTTACGAAAAGAAATCAAATTTTTCCCAAGAAACTATAGTATGAACTTCAAAATTTATTATTTTTCTCACATTTTACCCCCACGTCTGAGCTATTTTCAAATAGTGTAGGTCTGGCCAAAATGATTGACACGGTAGCACTATGTCCCTGCAGTATACCCGGATAATCAGTGCATACTTGAGGCTCGCAGCTGCACACTATCACCGTCGTGTCGTCGTGGTCGTGTGACTACTGCTTACTATCAAGCTGGCCATATGCTTGTATGCAGCCTTGTCCTTCCTTAATGGCATAAAGAACATGCAAGATAGACCAACCTTCCTCCAAAAGCATGGCGTCCGCGGCTGCGGCCCGGTGTAAAGCGGACAGCCAACGTTGTGCGGACTCGCTGGGAGCCTGCTCCGCCAGACACTTGAGTATATCGGCCGCCAGGCTGTGGTGGCCGTACCTGAATGGAAAGTACTATTGTTAACGTTCTGTTTATTCATCACCATCATACCAGCCTATAACTGTCCACAGCTGAACGTAAGCCTCCCCTTTGGGGCGTTTTCCCAGTAGTTGCCACGCTTGGCCGGCGGATTGGCAATCGCAGTCAGGCTTCAGAGATGTTTAAAGAGGGACGTTGCTGCCTATCCCTCGTCCTCCCATAGTTGGCTTTTACGACACCCACGGGATAAAAAGATGTGGCCTATTCTATACCGGGACCAGACGGCTGTTTATTATTATTCTGCAATTAGATTATTGCTCGCTACTTGTATGCGTATATTTTAGAAGAAGAGAAACCATGAAATGCATAATTTTTGATGGCGAATCAAGATAAAACATACTGATAATATTTGGTTACATCTTCATAAACACAACGTGATGCCAGAACAAACGTATATACAGACATTTTTTTTTAAATTACTGTTTTGGCTTCTGATGCTCTTATCAAGACCATCTATATAATTGTTTTTAATATCTCACATGTCATTTATTTACAATTCTATTATATTTTTAATGGAATGGTAACCCCGCCAGCGCTAACGGTATACATTGATGATGCACCAGTGGAGGATGATAGATGAGAATGAAAAGGTAGGTCAGTTAGCCCATCGTGATGAATAAATACCAGAGGGAGACTTTGTACAAAAGTCGATTGCTTGTGTACCTCTGTCCCATTCGTGTTTCTGCCGTGAAGCGGTTGTGTTTGCATAGCTGTGTTTCGGTTTGAACGGTGGGATATGGCGTGAATTTACAGGGTACAGAGGAATAACATCTGAGTCCTCAGAAATGGCAACGCATGGAGGGTATCATGGGCGAAACAATATACTCTGTTATGTCTATGGTACTGCTCATGTCTATAGGCGACGGTTATCACTTTCCATTAGGTGGGCCGTCAGCTTGTTTGCCATTTTAAATTGTATAAAAAAAATCTGTTTCGTTAGAACTTGATGAAAATATAAACAAACATACATGTACCTACAGTCTGCTGATATGTCGATTTGTCATTAATATCTCTTAGATAGTGGTTCTATGGTATTTTCAACAAAACTTGTCCATAGTACTGCTCATGTCTATAGGCGACGGCTACCACTTTCCATCAGGTGGAGCGTCAGCTTGTTTGCCATTCTAAGTTGTATAAAAAAAAGTTGGTTATTTCTTCATTGAATTGTATTAAAAAAAGTATAGTCACAATTTATTCTTTGTCATGAACATTCATTTACATTTTGTTTTGTTAACCGACTGAAAACCAGTGCTGTGCTGCTGTACACACTGCACTGTGGTACCCAGCATCAGCTGAGTTAACCCTTTTTTTCTAGTATTTGTTTCTACTTTATTGCACCATTTAAAAACAATAAATACAGTAAATTTTAATAATAAATGGTAGATAAGGCGGCCTTATCGCTGAGCAATCTCTTCCAGACAACCTTTGGGTAGAAGACATAGAATAAAAATAATTTATGTGTTTGTATTATTTATACAATACATATTTTGCTATCCTATTCTATTTTTTTTAAGGTGAGCATATCGTGAAACTGCAAAGCTTGATTAGTCGATTTAAATAAATAAACAATACATATATTTATATAATATAAGAATTTAAAACTTAGTATAAAACAAACAGTAATAAATCTTTCTACTCCAAATCCTTTTCCGTGCAAGCAGTTCGTTTGTGGAACTCACTCCCTACCTCTATACGGTGCGCTCAATCGTTGCCCATTTTTTAAAACTTAGTTAAAGCCCACTACCTATCCTTATAATCACTTAGTCCTACGTATTTCCAGTTTTATGTGTGTTATATATATGTGTATTAATATGGTATATTTGTATGTATTTATATGCGTATATATGTATATGTATGTATATATATTTATATGTGTATGTGTATGTATATATATGTATATGTTTGGTTGTATGTGTTTATTTATGTATGTATATGTATATGACTATGCTGTCACAGATATTATCTTTTACAAATGTATCTTTTTTAACGCGCCACCTACCTATTTATGCTTTAATTCTTTCTACCCAAAGGTTGTCTGGAAGAGATTGCTTAGCAATAAGACCGCCTTTTGTACTACACTAGACGTATTGAAAATTGTTTTAACAAATCATGTTATGTTGGTGCAATAAAGTGTTAAATAAATAAATAAAGCAGGAAATATTTAATACTAAGAGCTATTTAAATAACCTTATAATTTTTGGTTTATTTCTATAAGACCAAGCACTGTCGCATTTTGTATATATTGTCTTTTAGCTTAATTATTGTTGTCTTGTATTTTTTTTATGTATATAAAAAATATATATAGTAAATAATAATGGTTTTTCTGTTAAAAATAAATAAATAAATATATCCGTCCCTTATTCGTCCTTAACTGTAATAATTATTAATAATTGATAAAATTCAACATTTCTCCTATATCCGTAAGTAAATTAATTTAATTTAGCATTAATTTTGTTAAGGTACCTCACGGATTACAATATCGCAGTGTAATATTTTATTATATTGAAAATCGATAAGAGCATAATGCTTCGTCGTCCGATTGAAAAGGGTTTATGTTCTTAAATCAATCAATCAAATATGTTTTCTTCAAATAAACTTGTTTACTTTGAAATTAATTAATTTTCTAGAATGTAGATAATTTTTATGTGACAGAGGCTTGTCTGTATATATGTATACTTACATTATGTCTGTGTTTTTGTGCTAAAATTTAAATAAATATATGAAAACTCTCATCACAGTCCTCTACCCAAAGGTTTTTTGGAAGAGATTGCTCAGCAATAAGGCCGTCTTTTGTATTCCTTCTCATTAATACTTACTGTATTTATATTTTTATTATAATCAAACGCTGTTATGGATATATTTACATTTTACATATATGTATTCATATGTATGTGTGTATATATGTAATAGTATATAAGTGTATATAATGAGTTGGGATATATATTTTATATTATTACATGTATCATATCTCTATAATAAGAAATAATAGTATTTCATCGTGCCTCCGATCAAACTCCTCTCCATCCAAAGGTTGCCTGGAAGAGATAGCTTTTAGCGATAAGGTCGCCTATTGTTTTCTCATTGTGATTATTTCTTGTAATTGTTTATATTTATAATAAGTTTACTATTCAAATCCTTTGGAGGAAATAATAAAGAGTATCTATCTATCTATCTATTCAAGTCACGGTTGTTCATTATATTATTCACGTCTATATTAGGGCAATTAAATATATAAAAAAGTAAGTAAAGTGGATGGATTAAAAAAATAAGTTCACTATTACTCATTAAATGATAAAGACTAACGCTTTATTCATAAAAATAGAAACCTACAATCCCATTTTAACCATTATAGTGGATTACATTTATTACGACCTTGGTTGTAGCGACCATTTGCCTATAGCGACGTTAAATCTAAGTCCCTTGAATTTAAAGCATACTTTAGTACAAAAATCATGTGGCTATAGCGACTTTGGGTGTAACGCCGAGTTCGGGTGTAACGACTGTTTTTAATGAATCATTTGTAACAAATTCCTAGAAATCCCATGCAGATATTGCGACCGAAGTTGGCCGCCAAAGAGACACAAGTTTTTTTTCTTTCACAAACATTGCTAACCTTTTGTTTAAATCAACACAGTGTGGAGACCTTTACCTATTGTTTATAGATATCAGCTAAGTAGGTAGGGAAACGTATACGTTTCGGAGTTGAACTTATGGTTCAGTTACAAAGTGATATTCTGAGCAACAACTGAGTTTAGTAAATTTCTGAATAAGTATGACTGCCTCGACGCACATTCACTGTTAAAGAAAAGGCAGAAATCATTTCAAAATTGAAAAACGGTGAAAACAATGCTGAATTGTGCGAAGAAAAAAAAAAACTATACATGTGTACGTGTCTGTATCTCTTTACCTTTGGCTGTAACGACTTCCGGATATAACGACGAAAATAGAGTGGTCCCTTCATCGTCGTTATACCCGAAATCCACTGTACATTGTTTGTCACTTTCTTTCAAATTGGAAATTTAACTAAAAAGAGATAACCGAATAAGAGGTATTGATGAATTTCGACATCAAACTGGGGAACGTGCTGCATCTACCAATCCTCAAGATTAAACAAGTGCTCACATACGGATTGGTAGACACATTTGTGAAGACACTTATATAACAGTACGAACGCTTATATCACCAAAAGCTTAACTGCGGTTGCCAAACCGTCTGCCAAGAGTGGCAACTACTGGCAAAACCCTCTTAATGGGGCAAGCTTATGTTCAACAGTGATTAGTTAACGGCTGATATAGTATGATATATAGATACACATAGATACATATTAAGTGGAAATGTACACGATTGAAATGGCTTTTTGTATATAAAAATATATATTTATAATCCTTACTTACATTATAAATGTGATAGTGAGTTTGTTTGTATGTCATCTTATAGCGCTTTAACGGCTTAACCAATCACTATGAAATTTTGTATTCACGTACTTACTATAAGAGATGGAGAAAGTGTTAGATCAGGGGTCGGCAACCTTTGAAGTCGGAAGAGTAAAAAATTACAATATACAAAATATATTTATAAATATTTTAAAAAGCCACAAAAATTTTTCTTGCCGATACTTGAATAAATAAAGTTTCGTGCCTAATCCTCGTTAATCGATTCAGAACGATATTTAGTTTCTTTTTTTTTTTTTTATTAAATAAATAGTATTTGCGTATGGAACTAAAGAGCTGCAGCTTCACATCCAAACAGCCGCATGTGGAGGATTTACCAGACGGAGACGTTGTACAAAAGCAGACTCCTGATTTAGGGTACTGTTAATACCGGTCAGTAAACATATCCCAGTCATGGGAATGAACTCGTGGCTACAAAAAATTACTGTGTTACTATAATCTCACTATCTAAGATAGTAAATCTTGGGGGGAAAGGGATTGTTAGTAATGGAGATTGAGAATCCCATTGCTAGCAATATACCCAACCAGGTCGACCTCCTCGCGGTTCCCCCTGGAAACTATCATGGTTAATTCCTGATGAATTCATTACGATGGGCCAACTGGCCTGTTTTCATTCTCATCTATCACCAGATAGGTGATATCTCACTGGTGCTCCGCCAGCGTATCCCGTTAGCGCCGGCGGGGTTACCATACCATTTTTACTCATAAAAAAAAAAAAAGATAGTGAATCTTGATCATTGACGTCAGCCACTACAATGATGTATATAAAGTCATTTCCACTGATTAGATCACAGATAGTGGCTATCTGTATTTTGAATCTGAATTTATAAAATGTATCTACCATATATATACGCACATCCTTGATGACTACATACATACTATTACTGATTACTCATTTGTACAGTGACTACTGTACTTTACTAGTGTATCCCGTGACTTGTCGCATTTACTATTAGAATAATATAAGAAAATGCGAAAAACTAGATTTTTTTTTATACAACTTAGATTGGCAAACAAGCTGACGGCCCACCTGATGGAAAGTGGTAATCGTCGCCTATAGACACGTGCAGTACCATGGACATAACAGAGTATACTGTCGCCCATGATACCCCCTATGCGTTGACATTCCTGAGGACTCAGATGTTATTCCTCTGTACCCAGTAAACGCACTGCCATATCCCACCCTTCAAACCGAAACACAGCCATGCAAACACAACTGCTTCACGGTTGAAACACGAATCGGACAGAGGTACCCAAGCCATCGACTTATATTATATATTTATTTATTATATATATTTGTATAATTAGGTAGAATAAAATCAGAGTGTGGAAAGTTACAACATCCTCAGGTCATAAATCGTAAAAAAAAAATAACGTCCCAGTTCAGAAATACTCCACTCTCCTCAGTCTTCGACTTTCGTGCACCATCTGTTTCTGTTAGATCTAGACTTCAGTGCACTATGTAATGCTCGCTAGGTAGGTAGTTATATGAAATATAAAAAAATATTTATTTGCTTTAAACAGACATTTGACATTATAAGGACCATGTGACAAAACTTTTTGGCATCTGTTTGATCGCCTTAAAATTGTAGGCGTGCAAATCTAATTTATTGCTTAAATAAGGATACAAATTTAACTTAAGATTATAGAATAATACAAAAAGAAAAAAAAAAAAACAATTCTCAAACAATTATCAAGTCAAATCAATAAATGTGTGTAAATACATATTCAATATCGTGAAATAAAATTAACAATTACATTATTATTATTAATTAAATACAAATTACATTCCATATGTTATATCAATCGAATTGTCAGTTTGAGGTAGGCAGAAACTTATTAAAATTCCTTAGGGTGTTCCCGCTATGGGAACACATTAATACATATAGTTTTTAAATTCTATTTATTTTAAAATCGGTATTATAATTTACTAATACGTAGGTAGATGCGTTAACGCAACAGAGCGACGTACAGGTGCTTTAAAGATCATTGAAGGTGTGTCACGTGCATGACGTGTAGTGAGGGGCAATGGTTCGTTGAAACAAACATAGACAATATTGTACTTGTCTACTGGTTTACATAGATAATAATATTTATTAAAATGTATTTATTAAAAAAAAATGTGTAAGATCTAACGTTACGTTACAGGCTTTACTCATGCTTATTAGGATAGTATTTTATGAGTAAATCATTGGTGATCCATAGTGATGATGATTGATGATATCAAGTAATTACTTATTGCAGTTACAAAGTTTTTGTTATAATAAAAATATATTAAAAAAAATATAACTCACCGCAGCGCAGCCCTTGCGACCCTGTACCGGGTCCAGCCGTCGAAGGGACGGATGGCGTCCATGATACTCCGCTGCCAGGATTTAGAGATGGTGGATACCAGCGCGGCACCAGCACGCTCCTGGAACAGCACCGTGCACAGCAGCACCAGCGTAGTGCCGTCGTCCGAAGGGTCGTCCGGTTGCTCCCTGATGGATTAGAGATTATATTGTTTTTTAGATGTTACGTGGTGGGCGGAGCTGGGTTGGCTGTACTAGCCACGACTCATACGCAAAATGGCCGAAATGAGAGGCTGAGTGCAGAAAAGAGAGTTCAATTTACATTATATTACATTCAGATGTTACGTGTCGCTCGGTTTATTTACTATTATTTTTAATCTTATTGAATTTATTGATCGAGATAAGATTTAGTCTTCATTCATGTCTATGAACTAAGACATTAATGTCAGTTGTCACGTCCAATATATTTGAGGGTGGTGTGGATGCCGTTGCCTCCCGGCGCCCAGCGCGGCCAGCCCCTCCAGCAGCGGCCGCCGCCCGCCGCCCGCCGCCCGCCGCCCGCCGCCCGCTCGCTGCGTACTCACCGCAGGCGGCGGCCGAGCGCGGGCAGTGCTGGCGCGAGCGCGGCGGCGGCCTGCAGCCCGGCGCCCAGCGCGGCCAGCCCCTCCAGCAGCGGCCGCCGCCCGCCGCCCGCCGCCCGCCGCCCGCCGCCCGCTCGCTGCGTACTCACCGCAGGCGGCGGCCGAGCGCGGGCAGTGCTGGCGCGAGCGCGGCGGCGGCCTGCAGCCCGGCGCCCAGCGCGGCCAGCCCCTCCAGCAGCGGCCGCCGCCCGCCGCCCGCCGCCCGCCGCCCGCCGCCCGCTCGCTGCGTACTCACCGCAGGCGGCGGCCGAGCGCGGGCAGTGCTGGCGCGAGCGCGGCGGCGGCCTGCAGCCCGGCGCCCAGCGCGGCCAGCCCCTCCAGCAGCGGCCGCCGCCCGCCGCCCGCCGCCCGCCGCCCGCCGCCCGCTCGCTGCGTACTCACCGCAGGCGGCGGCCGAGCGCGGGCAGTGCTGGCGCGAGCGCGGCGGCGGCCTGCAGCCCGGCGCCCAGCGCGGCCAGCCCCTCCAGCAGCGGCCGCCGCCCGCCGCCCGCCGCCCGCCGCCCGCCGCCCGCTCGCTGCGTACTCACCGCAGGCGGCGGCCGAGCGCGGGCAGTGCTGGCGCGAGCGCGGCGGCGGCCTGCAGCCCGGCGCCCAGCGCGGCCAGCCCCTCCAGCAGCGGCCGCCGCCCGCCGCCCGCCGCCCGCCGCCCGCCGCCCGCTCGCTGCGTACTCACCGCAGGCGGCGGCCGAGCGCGGGCAGTGCTGGCGCGAGCGCGGCGGCGGCCTGCAGCCCGGCGCCCAGCGCGGCCAGCCCCTCCAGCAGCGGCCGCCGCCCGCCGCCCGCCGCCCGCCGCCCGCCGCCCGCTCGCTGCGTACTCACCGCAGGCGGCGGCCGAGCGCGGGCAGTGCTGGCGCGAGCGCGGCGGCGGCCTGCAGCCCGGCGCCCAGCGCGGCCAGCCCCTCCAGCAGCGGCCGCCGCCCGCCGCCCGCCGCCCGCCGCCCGCCGCCCGCTCGCTGCGTACTCACCGCAGGCGGCGGCCGAGCGCGGGCAGTGCTGGCGCGAGCGCGGCGGCGGCCTGCAGCCCGGCGCCCAGCGCGGCCAGCCCCTCCAGCAGCGGCCGCCGCCCGCCGCCCGCCGCCCGCCGCCCGCCGCCCGCTCGCTGCGTACTCACCGCAGGCGGCGGCCGAGCGCGGGCAGTGCTGGCGCGAGCGCGGCGGCGGCCTGCAGCCCGGCGCCCCTCGCGGCCAGCCCCACCAGCAGCGGCCGCCGCCCGCCGCCCGCCGCCCGCCGCCCGCCGCCCGCTCGCTGCGTACTCACCGCAGGCGGCGGCCGAGCGCGGGCAGTGCTGGCGCGAGCGCGGCGGCGGCCTGCAGCCCGGCGCCCAGCGCGGCCAGCCCCTCCAGCAGCGCGCGGCCGCGCGCGGGCCCCGCGCCCCGCAGCTGCGCCGCCAGCGCACGCGCCGTGCGGCACGCGTACTCCGCCGGCTCCGCGTTGCACAGCTTCACCTGCCGCGCACACCACGCCACACCACATCACTATATATTGACTATACTATCACTACATGGTGACGGTCGAATACACGAGTTCCTTATTAGATCAATGCAATACGAACCATCGTAAGTAATTCAAGGTGAACTCGTCACGGTAAAACAACTACCCTGAGTTCATCCTCATTCATCATAATTCACTGCTACCCCGTCAGCATACACTATTACGAGGAGGAATCAAAAAGTTGTGAAAATAAGATAGAATATAACGACTATTGATATCTTAATAATTTATTTTTCCACATAGTCTCAGAATCTCTCTACACACCAAGTTATTGCGCTTTTCCAAGGCTTCGATCTCTTTAAAAAAAAGTTTTGTCTTGGTCCTGCAAAAAGCTCTCTACGGCATCCATCACCTCGTTATCGGCTCCGTATCTGTTTCCCCTTAAGTATTCTTTCAAATTGCGGAACAGATAAAAATCGCTAAACGCCAGGTCTGGTGAATAAAGGGGGTGATCAACCAATTCAAAGCCAGCTTGCTAAATGGCAGCCATCGCAATTGCCGACCTGTGCGCGGGTACGTTGTCGTGATGAAACAGCACGCCCCTTCGAAATTTCACTCTCCTTTTCTTTTTGATGTCATTCCTTAACTTGGGAATTAAACCTGCATAATATTGGCCTGTAATAGTGGTTCCACGCTCCAGGTAATAAATCAACAATATCTCTTCTGAGTCCCAAAATATTGATGCCATAACCTTGCTAGCCGATGCTACGGCACGAAACTTCTTCGGGGTCGGCGATGATGGCCGTTTCCATTGCAAATATTGCTATTTTGTCTTGGGATCAAAAAGATGGACCCATGTTTCGTCCATTGTTACAAAACGAGACAAAAAGTTTTCAGAATCTTCTTGAAACTTGTCCAAAAATATCTTCGAAATGTCAAGTCGATTTTGTTTCTGACTGTCGGTTAACATTCTCGGCATCCATCTTGCGGAGACTTTTCTCATATTCAAAAATTGTTTCATTATGGATTGAATACTTTCATATGAAATGAACGTTTCTTGAATTAAGTATCGGAAGGTAACTCTTCGATCGCTCAATCTCGACTTTCGCAATATTTTCTTGGGTGACTGATGTCGATGGACGGCCGTAACGATGCTCGTCTTCCGTGCTCGTTCTCCCTACTCGAAATGAGAAGCCCACATTGCGACAGTGGAATACGGCGGAGCAGACTCTCCTTATGTTGCCTCCAAACCTCAATGAATCTCTTGCGTCGTTAACTTTTTCAAACAGAGGTATTTAATAAGGGTTCGCATTTCGTTTTTCTCCATTTTTGAGAACACGTTCCGTCACAAAGCAAACAAATGACTACATTCAGAAAAAAAAAAAAACAAAAGGAGGTCGAAGATTTTTTCTTTATTAATATGTATCTGAGCTGTGCTTGCCAGTATTTTTTTTTCTTACCAAGGAGTATATCGTTCTCACTACTTTTTGATCCCTCCTCGTAATACAATTAACGCTTACCATTCCTACTGCAACCCCATAAAATTGATACGTGAAAGAAAGATGGGTACTCTTCATATCTAGTTATACGATTTACTCCAAAATGATACCACTTTTATAGTTCCACTAGTGTTTTTTATATTTATTTACATAACAAATTATAGTTATAAGACATTACACACAGAGATACAAGAATGGTATGCTAAAATTCAAATCATTCTTATTCTTTTTTTAAATATACTATATGGCTTCTTTCCAGCCATGACCATACCGCCCACCAAGGACTATATGACAATATTGTCCTTAATCCGCCCACCATGAATAAATACTTTACAAAATTAAGATAATTAAAGAATAAACAATGTCCTTGGTAGAAATTTAACAATATTACCCTACATATAATAATGAACAAACATAACATAATACTTTGAACTGCTTTAGATCTTAATTATAGTTATCAATTAATGTTAGACGCTCACTCTTAAAATAAACAAAATAACTATGGTAGAAAACAAAGTTTTGATACAGCCCTTTTTATAATGCTGTTTTTGCAGCGTAAACTAACAACACGTGTAACACCGTCTATTCCCGGGTGCTTTTCAACTATAAAACCATAAAGCCATTATATGCTGGCGGAAGATCATTCTCCATCACCAACACTATGTCACCTATTTGTAGTTGTGGGACCTTATGATTACATTTATATCTATGATGAAACCGAAGGAGAAACTTAAGTAAACTTCTATATATTATTAATAAGATTATAGTGTGCAAACTATGTAAAATAATGCACTGATGATATGTACCATTAATATTAGTACATTGCGACTGTCTATCAACTCTTAGAGTTTCATCTTCATCATTCCACGGATTCGAGAAGGTAAGTACAATTTTCTTTTCTAATCTACTAATAATAACACTATCTATAATAACACTACTGCTAATCTTTCTTTTTTCTTTCTTCGTTCTTTAATTCATCAACCAGGTAAGTTTCTTGAAGATTCTTTAGATACTGTAACCATTTATTCAAAAGTTGTATTAGTAATTCTTCATCTAAACCTATTCCAGAGAGCCATAACATTTGGATAAATGTTCTTACACGAATAACAGACATTAACCATTCAACTGAATTAAAAATCCGAGAAATATCGGAAATAACTTTTCTTTTAGTTACAGGTGCCTTCAGTTCAGGCAGTTGTACAACATATTCAAAATGATCACTACTTCGATTCCAGGTCAGTCCCAGAATTTTCAAAACACTATCTATTTTTAATTGCACGCTTCCTTGTGAAGCTACATCCTCTTCACTAATTACTTTCAATAATTTCTCACTATTACTACTCCATTTCTGAAGCTCAAATCCTCCTTTTTTCAATAACTCATTTATCTCCTTATAGATTTGAATACCTTCTTCGACTGACTCACAACCTGTTAGTAAATCGTCCATATAAAAATGATTTAGAACTCTTTCAGCAGCAAGAGGATAATTTTTGCCTTCATCATAAACAATTTGATGTAAACACCGAACAGCAAGGTAAGGTGCTGATACCGTTCCAAATGTTACTCGTAATAGTCTCATATGTTGCAGTTCACTTTCCGGATGATCACGCCATACCAGACGTTGAAAGTTAGTGTGTCTTTCTTCAACCTTTATCTGTCTATACATTTTAATTATATCAGACACAAGACATATAGGATAACGACGCCAACGTATTAAGAGATGACGCAAGTCAGCTTGAAGAGTGGGTCCTACTAATAAATCTTGATTTAAAGATACGCCATTTGTACCAGGACAACTTGCATCGAAAACAACTCTTACTTTTGTAGTGGTTCTATCCTCTCGCACCACTGCATGGTGTGGTAAATAGACTGCTTCAGGATCATCTTGTTCAGTTATTGGTACTTTCTCCATGTGTCCTAATTCTAGATATTCTGAAATGACTTCAGCGTATTTAATTTTTAAATTAGGATCCATTGATAATCTTTTTTCTAGTTGCAGAAATCTTTTAGTTGCAATAATTTTAGAATTGCCATATTTACGACTGGGATCATCACTACGGAATGGAAGATTAACTATATATCTCCCTGAATTGTCCCGCTTCGTAGTATTTGTAAATATTTCTTCACATTTCTTTTCTTCTTCAGATAAATGTTTTTTAATATCTACACTGTTTTCAGCTTCCAACTCCCAAAATTTCTTTAATAAGTCATCTTCACTTACATGAGAAATATGCATACTAATTAGTAGCCTTTGTATATTACTTTTATCTAAATTTACAGGGCCAGAAATAATCCAACCAAGCGTTGTTCGCTGAGCTATAGGTACACCTGGTGGACCTTTGATTACACCATCTAACAAGATCTGACTGTAAACATCTGCTCCGAGAATAATATCGATTTTGTTTGGTGTATGAAATGATGGATCTGCCAGTTTGATATTTGAAAACTCTGACCACGGTTCTACAATAATTTGCCTCTCAGGGAGGATTGAAGTGAGTTTACTCAAGACAAAAGCTTGAACCTTAAACGTAAAATTGGGATCATCAAGTGATTGTAATGAAACCAATACCATAGACTGAGAGGTCAATGACCTTGATCACTTCCTAATCCAGAAATAACACTTTTGTATGGTATCTTCTTTAATGTCAGCAATTTAATAGCAGATTCAGTAATAAAACTAGCTTGAGAACCTGGATCTATTAAACATCTCAGTGTGATACCATTACCTGATTTCGATTGTGCACTAACTAATGCTGTTGCAAGTAAGACTTGACAGTTTGAGGTCGAAACACAGGCTGTGACACTAGTGGATTGATCTACAGACGATGATGTTGTTGCATGTGCAACGACATCTTGTTCAACCGATTGATTTGCGATACCTGTAGTGTCGGTTGAATTGAGATTGGTAACATTTTTTAGATGGAGTAAGGAATGATGCTTCCGTCTGCATAAACGGCAACGAGAGATTTGACGACAAGCATATACAGAGTGCCCTGAACATAAACAGTTAAAGCACAAACCCCTGGATTGGACAAATTCGCGTCTAGTGTTAATTTCCTCTTTAGAAAACTTTTTACAATTTGCTAAACGATGACTTTCAGAACAGTAAGGACATATAAAATTGGTTGTGTAATATACTTTAGGGCTATTATTAATAACATTACTTTTATGCACTACATTAGACTTATACAATTTTGGATCAATAAACTCTAACGCTCTAAATCTAGTTTCTAGAAAGTCTTGGAACTGCTTCAAGGTAGGCAACTCATCTGAGAACTCGCTGATTTTTAGTTCCCACTGCTTGCGAGACTCCATATCTAATTTTTGACTTATAATATAGATAACAAGCACGTCCCAAGTACTGATGTCTATTCCTAAATTGTTAAGCCCATGAAGACATTCATTAGTAGTATCTAGCAACTCCTTTAGTGTACTAGCTGATTCAGTACTGATGCTTTTTTGATTCATAAACCTTTTCAGAATACAGTTTGAAAGATATTTTTTATTATTATATCTTTTCTCCAATTGTTCCCAACAAATAGTATAATTATTATGAGTAATCGGTACATGACGTAGTAATTGCTCCGCTTCCACAACTAATAATCCTTTCAAGTAATGTAGTTTTTGTACGTCATCTAAATGTTTATTATTGTGTACCAATGATACGAACAGATCTCTAAAACTAATCCATTCTGAATATTTGCCTGAGAACGGAGATATAGATATCTTGGGTAGCTTTAAATTGCAATTAAGATCTTTATTACTATTGTTTTGTTCAGAACAACTCGCACTTTTAGTACTAGACTGCCTTAAACTAGTCAACGCTTCCTTCAGTAGAAATTTGTATTCTATATATAACTCTTCAGTAGAATCATAGACGTTATTACATACGTAGGAACTAGCATTCAAATCTTTGTAGTTTGTATTTTGAATGAGTTTTGTATGTGTCGAACTAAACTGACGCCATAATTCTTCTAAAGCTTCCAATCTAGTACTAATATAATCTATAGAACGAAGTCGCTCCTTGGGTGCCTTTTTGAAGTTAGATTTTGCTCTACTAATTCTTTCACTTAAATCAAACTGTACTTTTATATATGAATCCATTGTATAAATTTAATAATAAAGTTTCAATAATATCCAAAGTTTTTACAAGTAAATATTTATATGAAATGTTTAGAGTAAATTCCTTAGTCTTCTGTAATTAGATAAATAAAATGTACTCACAGTTCACCAGCACTTATCACTTACAATACTATGTTCAGTTCTGCTTTGATGTCCTTACGGCTGCAATATGACGATACAATGTTCAACAACAACAATTGACGCTCGCCGACTTCGTACAAAAAAGCAGTTTAAATTTGTCGTTAATCCTCGATACTCCGACTCGATGGACCAAAATATATACGATTTACTCCAAAATGATACCACTTTTATAGTTCCACTAGTGTTTTTTATATTTATTTACATAACAAATTATAGTTATAAGACATTACACACAGAGATACAAGAATGGTATGCTAAAATTCAAATCATTCTTATTCTTTTTTTTAAATATACTATATGGCTTCTTTCCAGCCATGACCACTAGTCGACCTCCACAAAACATCCCATCGAGGTTAATTCTCAATGAATTTGTCACAATATTCCCACTGAATCGCTTTAATTATCATCTATCATTCTTTACTGGTCCATATGACGCCGGATACACACGAAAACCCTTTCTTTTTTCGTAGGTATCATAAGAGATAACTAAGGGAATTTAATGCTCAAAGAATGGGTAGCAGCATTCCTTTTAAAACAGTAACTGCGGTTACCATCCTGCTTAACAAATGTGGGCAACTACTAACAAAAGCTACCTTACGAGAAAGGTAGGATCAGCAGTGAATAGCTAACGGCTGGTATGATGGAATGATCGTTTACCACCCACTTAACGTTTAAAAAAATTAGATACTAGCAACTTACCAGACAACGTAGCGCAATCCGTAGAGACTTTATATTGGCGGGGCCATCGTCCATGCCGGTTGCGATGACTAATGACTCGAGCGCTATCATCAGATCCGCGCCATCCACCGGCACAGACTCCTCGTAACTGGGGGGGGGGGGGGAAATGAAAATGACAACACTGTTGAATACCGAATTACAACTATTGTGTCACAGTGGGGTTGATTCTGTGATACCATTTCTTTAATAATAATAATATTTTACTTTTCAGACTACAATTTGGTCCCATTTTGTTAGTAACAATTGCCTTACAAACTATATTAGTAAAAAAAAAAGAAAAGCAATTAAAGTGAACATTAAAATAAAGCAAGTGGCGTGGCGTGGCGTGGCGTGGCGTGGCGTACCAGTGCACGAGGATGGTGGTGAGCACGTGCGCGGCGACGGCGGCGCGGCGCAGGTCGGCGCTGAGCGCGGCGCCGGCGCAGTACTGGCGCAGCGCCGGCGCCGCCGCCGCGCACACCGCCGGGCACTGCACCAGCATCTGCAACGCGCACTATCGCTCACCATCTACACTTTTACACCACATAGCGTACAAAGCACCCTCGCCGATCGACCGCAGGCTTAAGATCGGCTCATTAAGGAACGACCAAATGTTAGACATGAGCATTCAGTTCTGTTCCATAAAAATGTAATGACCGATTTTCCACACGGTTTGATCAAGAGTCGCAAATTGTATGAAATTTGATATTGTTTCCTCGCCCGTAACTGGCCTGAGCCTTGTGAAGATAAAACAAGCTGATGGCCCACCTGATGGAAAATAGTTCCTGTCGCCTGTAGATATGAATAGCACCATGAATATCACAAAATACTAACTCATTTGGCACCCATCGTATGTTACCATTCTCGAGGACTAAGATTTTATGCCATATGTTCTTGACATAAAACAGGCTATCCCTTTCTTTCCTGAGGGTGTCGTAGGCGGCTAAGGGAACATAATGGTCGAGGGACGAACAGCAGGGTCCCCCTTAAAATATCACCAAAGGTTAACCACGGTTATCAGGGGGAGAATGGATTGTTAGTAATGCGGATTATCAGTTCCATTGCTAATAATATACCCTAACAGGTCGACCTCCCCGTGGTCTCCCCTGGAAACCATCGTGCTGAATTCCAAGTGTATCCATCACGATGGGCTAACTGACCTGCCTTTTCATCTTCACCTATCATCTATCACTGGTGCCCCGCCAGCGTATACCGTTAGCGCAGGCAAGGTTACCATTGCATTATCATCCATTAAAAAAAAAACCACGGTTATCAACCTGCCTACCAAGTATGACAACTACTGTCAAAACTCCCTCTTATGTGGGAAGCCTGTGTCCAGCAGTGGACAATTATGGATAATATAATGAAGATTTTATACCTCCACATTTAGTATCTTCTCTAGCTATGTAGCATATATATTTATTGCTTGAATAACAGAATGTAACAGAAAGTGACCTTTGACTACCCCTCTTTTAATGGTATCTGTTATTTATTTATCTATACTTATAATAAATCTGTAGAGAGGTATTGACCTCTGTACATGAAATATATTTTCAAAATAACTATCGGGGGTTGATTAGTGATCGATATTGATGCCAAAAATGCAATTAGTAAAGTTTTTGACTGTCTGTCTGTCTATATGTTCGTTATAGAAACAAAAACTACTCGACGGATTTTAACGAAACTTAGTACAATTATTCTTCATACTCCTGGGCAGGTTATAGTATACTTTTCATCACGCTACGATCAATAGGAGCAGAGTAGTGAAGGGAAATGTTGAGAAAACGGGAGAAATTACTCCATTTTTAAGATTCCGTCGCGTGTGTAGCCTTAACGTCCACTTTTTTAAATGCAAAGCCGAGACGGGCCGCTAGTTTAGTATAAAATATCAAATGGTAGGAAATGTAATAGATACACACAATGTATTTTATTCATATTTCCCTTTGTTTTTATTAAGGAATTTCGCGACTGACTCTTGGCCACAACAGAATATCAGTGTTTTGCTCTTTTGAGGGCAAAGCAATAAACTGAGTTGTGACCGTTTTGGGTTACTATGGCACACCCATAAAAGAAGGAAATTGTTCTTTTATATATTTTCCTTTTTTTTGTATATGCATTCTTTTATCTCTTTTTAATGTGTATGATTGTATTGTTACTTGTGTGCTGTAAGTAATGCAAATAAATTATCTATCTATCTATCATATTTTATACTTCAAACATAATGACAATTATGCGAACATAGCTGTTTAATGGCAGATTTAATAGGTGAGAAATTATCAACGCAGATAACTTTGTCCATAACCTCACTGATTTCAATAGGACACTTTTTTTTTTATACAACTTAGAATGGCAAACAAGCTGACGGCCCACCTGATGGAAAGTGGTAACCGTCGCCTATAGACATGAGCAGTACCATGGACATAACAGAGTGTACTGTTTCGCCCATGATACCTCCCATGCGTTGCCATTCCTGAGGACACATTTGCAATTATTCTCACCTGCATAACTTGTAAGCACAGCATGGTGTGCTCCGCATCCTCGCTGTCGGTGGCAGCTTGGACCAAGTTCTGTATGCACTCCGCCGGCCACAGCGCCGCATGCTCCGCTAACTTCTTCAGGCCGACGAGAGCGGCGCGACGGACTATCGAGCGAGCATCGTTCATTGCAATATTTAGAAGTAGTTCCACCTGTGTTAACATTCATAATTATATATATATATATATATATATATATATATATATATATATATATATATATATATATATATATATATATATATATATATATATATATATATATATATATATATATATATATATTATAAACAAGTGAAATATAGATTAGTTAGTATGTTCAAACTTATGCACAAACTCTCGTATTTATCATGTACCAGGGTTTTAGAAAAATATAACAGAAGCCGTATATTGGAAAATGGGTCTGAATATATAAAAAAATAAATAAAAAAAGCTTGTTCTTCTTCATAAGGGTAAGTAATATATAGTAATATTTTTGATATAATAATATAGTAACATTTACAATAGATTTGGATTGGGATCGATGTTGGATTCAAGAGTCATCCTACTGTTTGTTTGTTTGTTTATTGATTATTATTATAATTTAATTGCTTTCTATTTGTACACAATTGTTATTTTCTTTTGTTTGTTTTGTTTTGATTTCTTTTGTTCTTGTTTTGTGCGCTACTGTGTGGGCCGCATGCTTCTTTGATTAAATTATTTCTTTCTTCTTTCTTTCTAATATCTATTTATTTATTTATTTTTATTTTTTTATTTTATTTATTAGGCGCACATAACAGAAGTTTACAAATAAAAACTTAAATTATAATATGCAAGTACATAACGGGTATCAGGTAAACTTGCCACAACATGTGCACACAGCATGATCCAATAATAAATGCGACTGCAACAAAGCTATTTACTGTAGTTACAGTATCTATATATAATAAGGAATACACATATATAATCCAATCCATCCAATATACACCTACTCATATACTTATAATAAATCTGTAGAGAGGTCAATTCTGTACATGAAATATATTTCCAAAATAACTATCACAGGGGGTGATTAGTGATCGATACTGATGCCAAAAATGCAATCAGTAAAATTTTTGTCTGTCTGTCTGTAGGTTTGTTATAGAAACAAAAACTACTCGACGGATTTTAACGAAACTTGGTACAATTATTCTTCATACTCCTGGGCAGGTTATAGTATACTTTTCATCACGCTACGATCAATACGAACAGAGCAGTGAAAGGAAATGTTGGGAAAACGGGAGAAGTTACTCCATTTTTAAGCTTCCGTCGCGTGTGCAGCCTTAATGGCTACTTTTTAAAATGTAAAAATGTCCACCCGTGCGACGCCGGGACGGTATATATTATAATATATAAGGGATATATTAAATAATAGTTATTTAATATCTATCTATCTATCCTATTTAAGAGCTGCGTTCTTGTTGGTGGAGCTCTTGCCACTCATTACGATTTTCAGCGAGTCTCTACACCTCTTGATACGACACAACATGAACTCCTTTCTTGATCTGCCTGATGTAACTATGTCTTGGTCTCCCTCTCCCCCTTCTTCCTTCTATTATAATGTTCATAAGTTCGTCGTGTTGTATCAAGTGTCCTAACATTTTTCCCCTTCTGTCCTCAATAGTTCTAATAATTTGTCTTTTTTCTTTAAGCCTAAGCAGGACCTCCCCATTGCTAATTCAATCCCTCCAGCTAATTTTCTCCATCCTTCTCCAGCACCACATTTCAAAGGCTCTAAGTTTATTCCATTTCCTTCTGAGTTAATGTCCACGTCTCACATTTATACAGAGCTATACTCCAGATATAGGTTTTGATAAGCCGCTTTCTAATTTCTTTTGTTATCTAATATATAATATCGAAAAAAATAAACAAATGGATCCAATATATACATATTATAGCAATACTGATATTACCTACGCCTACTTCTTCATGCCAAATTTCAATATGGCTTCCTTTGATTTTGAGAAGTAACAAACATTCTTTAAGATTTATAATATTTGTAAGGATAAAAGTCTCACTTGATCTGGGACGTGTACTACAGTGTCAGCGGCAATAGCAGTCAACGCAGTTATGGCTGCCCGCACGGAGCTGGACGATGGGAACCGCTCCAGTAGTGAACGTAGTAGTTTTAACACACCTTGGGCTCTTACAGCTGAAATAAAATTATAATTGTTGAAACAAATTACAATGATAGATTATATTGAACAAAAATAATCTTGGTTTATGGATTCTAGGGGGAGAAGGGTATACTAGGTAGACTACCAGGTCGACCTTCACATGGCTCCCTCTTGAAACCATTTTGCTAATTTCCAGGTGTAATCTGTTGTATATCAATAATTCAATGTGCCAGTGTTTTTCTAGAAATACCCACTTGTGAAACATATACTCTGTTATGTCCATGGTACTGCTCATGTCTATAGTTTACACCTATACCTACACTTTCCATCAGGTGGGCTGTCAGCTTGTTTGCAGTTCTATGTTGTATAAAAAAAAAATCTGTGTTATCAGTCAAATATCTGTAGTAAAATAAAAATATAAAGGACTTATATATAACAATTTTAGCCTTTTCATCCAATGTACTATGTATATTCTAGATTTTATAATGGTTGGTTAATGGGTTAAGAGGTAACAAACAAACTCGCTTTCATATTTATAATATTAGTAAGGATTCGTACCTCCACCATGAACAGTCCTCAGTGCACGAACCAGTTTAGCTCGCCTCTCCGCCCCAGTGCTCTCACATTCAACCATATCTGAGAGTTTGTTGCACATAGCCACTGCAAAGGTACTGAAAATAAATAAACATATAGCTTAATATTATTTTATTCACATTTTCTATTTCTTTTCAGAAATTTATAGCATTTACATAATTTTAGTATTATATATATAAAATAAAAAAAAAAATATATTTATGTTCACCACTTCAGAAAGTAGAGAAGTGGCAAAAAGCTCAATAGATACTGTTTTAGAATAAATTATTAAAACAACATAATTAACATCCACTAGTGGGCACAAATATTTGATATTAGATGAAAATATTAGTCTATTTTACTAAATTTTAAAGGTGGCTTGGAATAGAGATTAATTTTAAGTATTTCTACAGTTATACTAGTTGTTAAAGATAAATTATAACAATAAAAAATACAAACTTGGAGTGGGCTGCAAATCTGGTGGTAGCATAAATTGCAGCATCCACTTCAACATTGTCATGGCTATCTAGACCTCGTCTAATAGCATGATGAACATTCTGCCTCTCCGGAATTATTCCCGCAACTGCACCAAGTGTTCTCAATGCTAATGCTCTAGCAACTGGATCATTCGAATGTAGAACACTGAAAACCCTTCGTAAGAACTCATCTACGTTTAAAATCTTATCCAAATGTTTTTCACTCTGCTGGCAAACTCGCAGCACCCATAAACGGAGAAAATTATTGCCCATACGAAAAACATCAGCTAATTTCAAGAATGATGAGTTTATTAATATTGGAAATGGGTACTTCTCAAAGAGGCGAGGAAATCGGACAATTGCCTCACACTGTTCACCTACTTTACCAGACCTAAGACCTGGAACAAATTTTTAACATTTTAAAATAAAAAAAATATAACTTAATTTTTTATATTTAGTATAAGTAGTATCATATATATTCAAAAGTTCACTATTCTATTAATTTTACTATTTTTGTAAGAAATTATATATAAATATGATTATATTTATGTTTATATTTGTTCGAAATTTTAGTTGTAAAAACAATAATACTAAGGTTACCTTTGTCCAGTTCAGTCAAAGCCGAGTTTGCGTCTTGCTCAGGCTCTCCAGAATTGTCATTAAAAGTATTTAGCCGAACTCCAATCATTGTAGCAATATTATATTAATAATTTTATAAAAAACAATTTAATAATTATAGTTATGACAGGGAAAAATTTGATTATATCGAAGAAAACACCGGGCAATCTCAATAATAAAAACTTATGGTCACAGATAAATACAGTATGACTTGTCATCATAGTTACTCTACTCTGTGTTTGTCGTTGACGTAGAATTTATATTTGATAGTTAACGTGTGATTGATTGACTGACAATTTGATGATTTAACGTTGTTTCAATATTCCGCTTGGTACCTAGTAAATTTTATGTTTAAGGACAAGGAATTACACGAAATTTTTGCTTTCTGTATCGTTCACAGACATATATTTTATGAGTGGTATAGTTAAAAAATGTGGGCCATCTGTTAATAATTTTTATCAACCGAATCTTGCACTTGTCTAGTCCAGATCATAGATGGCGTCACAATGCAGTATATCGGTTAAACGATTAAAATCTCCATTTTATTTTCTATTTATTTATCGAGTTATTTTATTGTCGAAGTTTTTCCTAGAGACTACAGTATAGGGTTCTTCAAAAAGTATATATTAAGGTTTCACCCCTAGTGTTGCTGGCGTCCATAGGCTACAGTGATCGTTTACCATCACGTTTGCCACCTTTGTGGTATAAAGAAAAATTTATAAACCATGGCTGGCAACCAGGCTGTATGTTTGTTTGCCTTTGTGGTATAAAAAATTCATAGATACGGCATAGATTATTAAAACATAAAAAAATGATCCACTCAATGGAAATCATCATCTGTGGTAATAAATAGTACTATGGAGATCATGAAATACACTGTGACGCTTATAATACCTTTTTGTTTTTATCCCCGAGAACTATGATATTATGTTTCTGTACCGATACAGTTGAAGTTAAAACAGGTATCCAAGTTCGAATTAACAACTAATAGTATATTACTAACAAAGGGAATTCAAATCCCTAATGCTGACGATCCCTTCATGTATTTGAATTAGATATCTATCGTATATAAAGTATCATTTCATATCTATGTACATGTATGCATGCAGAATATTACCAACTTTCACATGTTAATATCTGTTAGTGTTCTAGCTGTATTTTGCTTTTATTTATAATATTTTAAATATTTTTAATTTTAAGAAATAAAAGATTTGTTGACAGCTAGAAAAAGAATGTTTTTATTTTTTTATTAAATTCAAATTATTATAGATAACAAAAAGTTTTCATGTGCTAACATACTGCCCGCGGCAAAAAGTAAAAAAGAATAAGATTCAACAAAATTATATCTTAATTATTCTATAGGTAATATCACTATTTTAGATATGGCCCTTATATGAGTCTTTCGGTCAGGGGTTCTCACTTCAACAGTACGAACTTTGGAGTCTGATCCTGAAAAAACTCTTGTAATTAATCCTAAGGGCCAATGAAGCGGTGGAGCATTAGGCACAACTAATAGTACCACCATACCTTCACGTACATTTTCAGTGACAGATTGCCACTTGTAACGTTTTTGTAAATTTAATAAATAATACTTAGACCAGGCCCGCCAGAAATGTTGCCGTATTTGTTCACAACTACGCCAAAACTTTAAACGGTTATTAGGAATAGAAGTTAAATCAGGTTGCGGAAAACTATTTAATGCGCAACCCACAAGAAAATGACCAGGTGTTAAAAAAGTCATCTCGGAGGGATCAGTTGACAATAAACTTAAAGGCCTGGAATTAAAAATACCTTCAATTTCTGTAAACACTGTACAAAGCTGCTCGTATGTAAATATTTTATTTCCAACTACTCTTTTAAAATGATGCTTTGCAGATTTGACAGTTCCTTCCCATAAACCTCCGTGGTTGGGACTATATTCTGGTATAAAATGAAATTGAATACCTTTACTGCAAGTGTAATTATTTATAACATGAATAAAATCTTTTTTAAAAAGAAATTTATAGAATTCAGAAAGCTTATTTTGTGCTCCCTTAAAAGTCTTTGCGTTATCGCAGAATATGTCAGAGGGCAAACCTCGTCTAGCTATAAAGCGTTTTAGGGCTGCCAAAAATGCATCAGTAGTCATGTCAGATACGACTTCAAGATGGACTGCTTTCGTGACAAAACAGACAAATACAGCAACATAACCTTTGGTTACTTGGCTTCGTCTTAAAGTTAACTGTTTTACATCAAAAGGTCCACAATAGTCGATACCTACTTTTTCAAAAACCCTTGCTGGAGTAACTCTACACATAGGTAAAGAACCCATTAATTGTTTGGAGCGTTCAGCTTTTAATCTGCAGCATATTGTACATTTATAAATAACGCTCTTTATTAATTTAATAGCATTAATAATAAAATATTTTTGTTGAAGGCTACTCAAAGTAAGTTTTAAACCACCATGCATTAAAGATAAATGTTCATTTCTGATGACTAAAATAGTAAAATGACATTTAGGCAAAATAATAGGAAACTTGGATGAAAATGGAATATTTGCATTTTGTAATCGGCCTCCAACTCTTAAAATATTATTGGCATCAATAAATGGATGAAGCGATTTAAGATTCGAGGTTAGGGGTTTGTTACTTTGAATAGCTTTTATTTCATTACAAAAGTAATAGTTTTGTATACACTTAATAATTAAATTCATAGATTCATTAAGTTCCTCGACACATAGTATACCCTTGAACTGTACTGATTTTTTACAGTAATTTATAAACCTGAGTACATAGGCTATAATACGTTGCAGTTTAAACAGTTTTGATATTTTAGTAAAAATAGACAATAAAGAAACATTTTCTGTACATGCTAAACTAACATTTATATCACTTTGACTTATGTTCAAAGGTAACTCGACGTAACTTAAATAAAAATTGTAATTGCTATTTGTGTCTGTTAAATAATCGGGCCCGTGCCACCACAAATTATTATCTTGAATTTTGGTAGGATCACAGCCTCTACTTAGAATATCACTAGGATTGAGAGCTGTAGGAGTATAATGCCATGACATATTATTTGAAAGCTTTGTGATCTCCTTGATTCTATTGCCCACATAAGCAGGTAAAGTATTAACATTTGTATCTATCCAATTTAATACAATTTGAGAATCGCAAAATAAATGAATGTCCTGTATATTAGGAAATAAAGAAGATATTTTACACATAAGTTTGCATAAAAGTACAGCTCCATTTAATTCTAATTTAGGTATTGTAAGCTTAGATTTAATAGGAGTGATACGTGATTTAGAACAGAGCAAAAATACTCCATCCTCATTTTTAATATAGATAGTAGCTCCAAAAGCATGCAACGAAGCATCACAATAGCCAATGAGCTGCACATTTTTAGAACCTTTACCTTCAACATGACGTTTTATATTTATAGTAGGCATATTGATAATACCATCACGGAAAGAAAGCCACATTTTAGACAAATCGGATGGTAAAGGAGTGTCCCATTCAATATTATGGCGCCAAATTTGTTGCAAAATCATTTTAGCCCGTACCGTGATGGGACCAGCAAAGCCCATTGGATCATAAAATTTGCTGATTTCACTTAAAACATTACGTTTGCTTGGGTGAGCAGCATTTTTCTCTAATTTACCATTTATTTTGAAAACGTCTGCCTTAGCATCATAATATATACCTAATGTTTTAATAACCAACTTATCTTGATCTAAAGCACGTTCATCAAATGCATATTTATTTTTTGGAATAGCGCTCAATAAATTAATATCATTGGCGCACCATTTATGCAATTCAAAGCTTCCTAAACTAAGTAAATCATTTAATTCTTGAATAAGTTCAGTAGTTTTATCATAAGTGTCGTGTCCTGTAAGTATATCATCTACATAAGATGAACGAATAATGGCTTCACTTGCTAATGGATACTCAGATCTATACATAATTGCCAACTCAACTAAACATCTAGTAGCCAAGTATGCTGAACTAGTAAGACCATAAGTAACCGTCTGAAGTTGAATGCATTGTAAGGATTCAGTCTCTTTACTGCGCCATAGAATATTTTGTAGAGCTCGATGTTCAGGGTGTATATTTATTTGCCTATACATATGTCTAATGTCACACATAATAACATATTTATGTGTTCGAAATAACATAATAATATCAAATAACTGTTTTTGTACAACAGGACCGTTGCACAAAATATCATTAAGACTGTGAGAAGATTCTCTTTTTGCACTTCCATCAAATACAGTACGTAACTTATTGGTTATCCTATCCAAACGCAAAACTCCATGATGGGGCAGAAAGTATAATGGTTTATCTAACTCACTACAATTGTCTATATCTATAATTTTGGCATGACCTAATGACAAATATTCATTTATAAAATCACAATAAAGTTCATAATATAAAGGATCTTTACTAAAACGTTTTTCTAATTGATAAAAACGTTGCAAAGCTAATACAAATGAATCGGCAGAATTTATTCCGTCAGTACTTGTTTTTAAAGGCAATTTTACTTCAAAACGCTTATTTTTGATACTAACAGATTCTTTGAAAACCTTTTCACTACATTCATGTTCAGGAATAGATTCATTAAAAATCTCAGGAACCTTTTCTGTCTCCCATAAACGCTGAATGCAGCATTCTAAATCAAGATTAACCATTGATGCATTCAAAACAACTGCATTATTTAATGAATGGCAATTATTAAAAGATGTATATGAGCCAGAAATAATGTAGCCAAATCGAGTATTAAGTAAGATCGGATCAGACGGACCTCCCTCGATTTTACCTTTCTTTAATATACGAAAGAATATGTCAGCAGATAGTAAAATGTCTACTTCAGATGGTATATGAAAATTAATGTCTGCTAGCGCAACATGTTTAGGTACATTAAAATTGGTAATATCTATATATTGGTGAGGAAGTTTTGTTGTTATAGATTCAATAACATAACAAGGTACATTTAAACTAAAGGATTCGGTTATGGAATGAATATTAATATTTACAAATTTGCTTATTTTATTAGATTTTTGTCCAAGTGTGATAATATTTTTCTGACACTCGGAGTGAGGAAAACCTAATTTTTCAAATAGTCTCGTTGTACAAAAGGAGGACTCACTACCTGAATCGACTAGAGCCCTAATAATGTGCTTGTTCTTTTTAATATCAAATACTGCTATTTGTACCGTTGGCAACAAAACATTACTTACTTT